GTTCTTGTATTTTTCCTGAGTACCGTGAAAAAGCCTGGGCTTGTATTTGCTTCAATCGCTGAACTCTTAGCACAAAACTCTTGCTCAGCAAAGAAATACTATGAAGGATTTCGAATAACATATCAATTACGAATCATTAATTTGATCTAAAGAGGGAGAAAGAGACATTGGATCTAAGCCAACCTCGCCGGGTATCAAAATACTGGTACTCTTTCCTCTCTCTCTACTTTAAGAGGTTTTAACCCGCGCTTATTTGTCAAAATGTGTAAAAAGTTTTACGGTATTCGCATTTAATGTTACCTGTTAATGTTCTACATTTGAAGCTTTAGTCCCTAATTACTTTAATATTTTACAAACAAAATATAAAAGGAGCTTATAAAATATGCTGAATTGCTATAGAATAAACTTCCCAACACTATTTAAGCTCTCAGCTGCACCTAGACCTGTCACAACACTTATGTAGCGTTAACTATAATTTAGGTCATGGGATGAAAACTGAGTCGTCTCCATGACAACTGAACAAACTCCATCGGCTGATGAAGACTGTAAGATGCAGATTACGCTACCAGACCCTGTGCTGAGATTGATGAGAAGGTGACAATGTAAATTTTCTGCAGGTGTACCAGGTCCAACAACAATTATTGTGCATATAATGAGATACAACTACTCTATATGTTGTTGGGTAGATTATAATAATGTTTTATAAAATACAGGAATCATTTATTCTGTATGTAAAATCACCTACAAACTAACAGATAAAAAGTATGAAATATAAAATGGAAATACTGTAAAACTGTTGCCTGTAGTCTTTACAAAGGACCACTGAGGTCTCTACCTCTAAGAATTTAAACTAACTTTAGTTTTTAGCACATCTGGCCTTCAGCTTCAGTCAGATCCACCCAGCTGAACACCTGAGACTAAAACCTTCTGGTAAAACGGACGGTAAAAATGCATCTATCTTCAAAACGTGCAGTTCTTAAAGTCATGATGGAAACTTTCTCTCTTTGATGTCCTCTATGCTAACATGGTGGACCCACTTTCTTTGGGTGTAGAGGAAAGATAAGCTCCCTTGAAGTCCATCAGTTTCTCATTAAATCCGATCCGGCTGATTATTTTGACATTTCTTAAGTGACAGCGGCTGCCTGTCAGAGCAGCGTGCACCAGATCTTGAGGAAGGCTTTTTCTTTTGATGCTACATCAACAGCCACTCTAGTCGAGATAAAGAGAATTGAACCCAGATGTGTTTTGACCAGATTTGCTGGGATCACCAGACATGTGTCTGCAGATGGCAACGGGAAATCTCCAGAGTTTTTTGAGCCAGATATGGAGAGATCCTGTTTTAGACGCTGTTGTTTTCATTGCTGCCCACTTCCCCTTTGCTCACAAAGTCCAACTAAGCTTTTTATTCAAGTAAAGAAAAGGTTAGACAAGGCAAAAGCCATGAATGAAAACAGATGCCGGAGGCCGCAAAGGTACCCGACTTCACCAGAAGCGGATTAATTTTCAGAGAATAGTTGGAAGTCTCATTTCTGTGCTGGTGGAGCTTCTGTTTTCAGTCAGCGTGGATTATGTGGGTTTAGTTTGTCAGAGTGAAGTCAGAAAGGGATGTTCAGATGTTGAGCATCACGGATAAACCACAACATTCCTCTTTCTCTGTCTGCTCTGATTTCACAACCCCCCCCCCAAGAAGAGCAGCTTCATCTGAGTTAATTAAACATTTACGTCACTCAGCTGTTGCTTTGTCTTTGTTTCTCCATTCCTTGCTGCTCCAGTTTGCTCCATACTCACAGACATGTCTATCTCTTGATCACAGGGTTCATATACAGCTCTCAGGTGATGTAATGCTGAGCCCATAATTAACTCTTATCCTCTTTCTGCATCAGGATGGACTATGGCTCCGTCTGACAGCATCTCGGCACTGTGCACACGACCTGTATCGGCCGTCAAGACGTTCTCACTCCTCATCTGATGCATGTTAAATCCCGCACTGTGGGTTATTATAAGCTTATAGCGCTGAAGTGATGGACTGCTGCAGTGATGTTAGAGTTATTGTCCTACAGCTGCTGTAAACAGACGTGTTTTCTCACTCTGTTTACAGACATTCATCACTGTGTCGGTGTGCTCGCCCCAGGAGGGCAGTTGCCTGCGGCCTCTCATAAACTGTCTGACTCTGAGTTATCCACCATGTCTGGGTTTGACTCACACACATGTGGTCAGTGACTAAGGTCCTCCTTCGCTCCTTCGTGCATCCTGTCCACCCTCAACAGATTCTTGTATATCTTGCGCTTTTTTGTGTGTTGCTCAGGCTAATGGATTTTTTGTTTTGTGAATCAATTCCCTGTGACAGCTAGCCATTAGTGGTTCATCCTGTCTCTTACAGAGAAAAACATTATTCCTGCAGTTCCCGGCAGTATGACTGGATGCGACTAAACACCGGTGTGGAAGCTGTAAACGGTCACATCAAACACCCTTATGACCCCTGGAGGTACCTGCAGAGCAAATGTAAAACTGGGCTGAGACCAGAGGCGCCCAGGCTGCTCGTACCCGATCATTTACAGAAGCTGCCAAGGGACCTGATGGCCAAATATGTTGTTTCAGTCGAAGGTTAAACTGCACATTAGTGTCTCCAGGCCTGGGATGGGGTGGGAGGGGGGTTCACAATCTGACGCCTGAGGCCTACAGTCTGCCACATGGAGCGGCTCATGTCCAGCTTGTTGTGAGCGCAGTGTACACAGGCAGATGAAAACCATTAACCCCCTCCCCCGTCCCACCAGAACAAAGCAGCCCAGCTGAGGTTTCTTAACTGTGCACTGCCCCCTCCTCCTCCTTCACAAGCCACAAGAGCTTAGACTCATGACATTTTTTCTCTGGATGAGGTTTCATCTCTCGTTCCAGTTTCTACTCAGATGGACTGGCTCTTAGTACGGAGTGTTTTGGGGGAGGGAGATTAAACATGGAGGGAACATAAACAGTTCCTCCCTTGCTGTTGCAAGACTAGAGAAAACCTGATAACGTGAAAGACACTACAGATATCAGTAAAACTATAACTCTCTGTAATACAATAAGACTCTAAAAATACATTAAAATATGTATTTTTTCTGCTGCAGAACACTGTTAACATACATACTCCAGGAATATTATAGAAAACTAATTGAGAAACCACAAAAAATACCAAACATTTGAAAGTTAAGACAATGGAAAATTCAGGTTTTTCCACACATAGCATCTTATATGACACACTTTAACATCTTATATAAAACAATTTGCATTGTTTAAAGTAAATAAAGTATGATTTTCCATTAGACTTACCTCGGCTTTTAGTACATTTGCAGCGACGGAGGTAAAACCAAAGCAGCAGAGACCACAGGCCAGGGTGAGGAGCTGGGGCAGCATTCTTCTATCTGCAAACTGCCCCCCCAAAAGAAACTTAAGGAAACTAACTTTCTACACAAGTCCCGCCGTCCTGACAGCAAACGACGAGAAAAAATCAAAACAAAACTAATGGATGCAACTCCGTTATGCTTTTAAAACGTGGCAGGAAAACTTTCTCTGGTATCCGCATGGACACTTGGAGCGCACCGGACAGCTTCTGCGCGCAAAAAGGCGACTCCTTTAAAAGTCAGAGTGGAGCTGAAAACACCGAACAAAGTGCTGAAATCATCGGGTGGCTGTGACAAAATGCTCAGCTGTTGTTCACTAAAGCTTCATAGTTTGGCTTCACTCTGGGAGGATTGTCCACAGCGTGTGTGGACGTGGAGAGAGAGAGAGAGAGAGAGAGAGAGAGAGAGAGAGAGAGAGAAATGGATTTTCCTCTGGGTCCTCCTCCAGATGTGCAGACGTCATTTTGGTTGACCACAGCTGAGCAGGTTTACCAATTCAATTCAATTCAATTCAATTCAATTCAATTCAATTCAATTCAATTCAATTCAATTCAGGGAGCTTTATTGTCAGTGGAAACAGTTTCCATTGCCAAAGCAGGTGTGAAATAAAACAGGTACACAGTATTATGGATAAATAACTTATAAATAGATATAAGATATTACCAGAGGTGGAAGAAGAACTCATATCTTTATATGTGGTATTGCTGTATTTAGGCTAAGTTAATATAGTAATACCACATATAAAGAAATACAAGTAAAATCCTGCATTCAAAATGTACTTAAGTAAAAGTGCTTATTAGGCAATATGGCTAATTTCAAAAGAACATATATTATTAAATAGAGTATTTTCTTTAAAACTGAGCTGTATTGTAAAGTATAATTTGTAATTTTGCAATGTGATTATCAATTATCAATCAATTAAAGAATGATCATTACTGATGTATTAATGTGTTTATTTTCACTTTATTTTTTGTAATGCTTATCTTAACCTATAATTACACCTCATAAGTTATTTGTTGATTATATTTTGCATTATTAATCTGAATCTGGAAGATAACACCAACTTAAGTTATGAAATAAATGTAATGGAGTAAAAAGTTTCCCCAAGAAACTAAAATACATGAGTAAATGTTCTAATTTCATATATTGATGTCTGGAGATCTTTAAGTAAAGTATTATATTAAAATATATACATACTTAAATAAGCTCAGTAGTTACTTTTAAGCTGTCAAAGAGGTTCCTACCACATATTTTTTGTGAATTAAAACCTTCTTGTTTACAGTCTTATGATTAAAACTAAAACCTTGGATATTAAAGCGACCCGACAGTGACACCTTGTGGTGAAACATAAACCCATTTTTAGATACAAATCCCCCTTGAATCGATACAACATCGATATATAAACGTACAGCATTGTGAAATAAACACATAATATGAGTAAAACATTTAACATAGAGAAGAAAAACACGTTCAAATTTTATGAATGTAATAAACACAGCTAAGCCCCGCCCCCCTCCTCCCTCGTCATGAGCTAAAGCATACGGAAGTAGCTCAGAACTTGTCAACAAGAAAAGGCCGACTGACATGGTAACGTACTCGTCTGTTGTCCTACCTTAAAACATCACCGTAGTACGCGGCTGCCGCTTCTTAACCCACACGTTGTGGTTCCTTTGGGCGCTCAAACCCTCGGCGTGGTGCCCGGACACCGTCTCTCGGGGTGTCGCCGCGTAGAAAAAAGCGTTTGAACGGAAGACGAGAAGTCGTTAGCCGTTAGCTCGTTAGCCGTTAGCTCGTTAGCTCGTTAAAGCGCTGGTGACTGAGGAAGGTGAGCAGCTGCTCCCTTTCTCCCCTTCAAAGCGAAACTATCTCGCAACCTTATCTCCGGGGACTTTATCTCAACTTGTAGGGAATAAAACGGAGGTGTTAATCGACCAGAGTTCAAGAGCCTTTTTTACTTCAGTGGGAATACGAGGGGATACTTTGTGGAAGTGTTTTGTTTGGGGGCAGAGGGGGTTTGATCACGGAAATGTTTCGTTTCTGGCGTCGTTGTCGAGCAGATTATGGGAAGGAAATCGCTGTGAGTAAACACTGTGTGTTCAAGATCAAAGTAGAGTCGGATTCAAGAGATCCGTGTGTTGTTGTCCTGCCCGGATATATAACAATATTGTATTAATTATGGCTGTATTGCTCGTTGCTCTTTACTTTGTTGGACAACCCGCTTCTGGGTCTGATAAATCTGATATATATGTGTTTAAAATGTTAAAAGTAAGAGCAGATAAACCAAGTGCCACTCAAATATGAGGTTATTTTCATTATTGGTTAAATTGCTGATTGTTTTCTGATCATTTAGTCTAACAATAATCAGTAAAACCTGCCTTTGTACGAACCAATGCTTCAAAACTTAAAGATATTTAGTTTATCACTCATACTTTAATCATGACAAACAGTTTTGATGTCTATGTAAGCTGGCTTATTTGTTATTCATCTTCTCTTCTTTCAATTTGCAGGTGAAGTCTTCCTGAACAAAACCTCTTAAAATGAAGCTTCTTTGACATTTTATTTTATTTTATTTTTTTAAAACTCCCTTTTAAGTCTTCAGTTTAAAAAAAAACAAAAACCCAATAATCTCCAGCATTTTAGAGGAGAAGCATTACCACAATGACTTACAACTTCTGTGCCCTCCTAGTTTTCACAATAACAGGTGAGTGAATACACGTTCATTAAACCTTTTTATGCAGCAAAGGTCAATGTTTGCGCTTCTCACGTCATGCAGCATTTACGATTTATGTCGGTGATAAAAAAAACATCTGCCTGACTCTTCTCTTTTTGCTTATTGCATCCACAGCGTGCATCCGTTTTGAGCCTGCCCTCTGTGCTGGTAAGGAGACAAACTAGTTGGCATGTTTATGAATGGATGTCACATTCATGGTTACATACTTTTATAACTACAGATCAGCCGGAGGACTTCATATTTAACAGTACTTTCACTTGTGTTATGTTTTAGTGCCACTCACTCCTCCAAACACCTAGGATGATAACATTAGCCTAAACTGGTGTAATGAAAGTACGGTTTAGGTGACTAAATAAACTTCTTTTGTTTAGACTTCTTAACAATTTCTCCTTTGTGTTGCTGTTTCTCAGTCCGCTGTGTGCATCCCGTCCAAGTCTTAGAGAGTAAAGTGGGACAGATCAGGAGTTCTGCCTACCACAGCTGGTCCTACCGCTTCGGCTCTACTTATGACTGCTGGATCATCAAGGGTTTGGAAGGAGAACCTATTGTTCTCAGGTAAAGTCTCTGAGGGGAACTAAAATACCAGGACTCTGTTTTCTAGTCTTGTTTCCTAAATATCACCTTACACGGAGAGCTGAGATTAAACAATTTGCCTCCTGTAAATCAGATTCCCTCTGGGATAAGATGAGCTGTGCAAAGTATTGAATGTTTTTGCTACATAGAAAATATTGCAGATCCTGATCTTGTCTAATCCTGTTTGGTGGTGATGATGTAATGGTATGATTGGCTAAGGAGAGCGCAATATGGATAAAAAGCAATTGAGAAACTATGAATAGAAGAACCAGATAGGAAGGGCTGTTTTTGAGAAATCCATCAAACTACAAGAAGATCAAATTAATGTCAAAATCATATCAGAATCCAATATTGTCATAAGGTAGTCCTGCTAATTATTTGCAGCCTTTCCCATATTAGAGGGGAAGCTAACAGAGTCTAAATTTGCTGATGTTTTACAATTTATACTCACTTTCCCCTCAAAAGTGCTGCTTCTTCTTTTTGTATTTTAATGTAAGTGAGGTTCTGTGTTTACTGATTTTACTTTAAATCTTCTCTCAGCTTTTCACAGTTCTCAGCACGGTGTAGGAAGGAATGGGTGTCTATAAAATCATCAGCAGGCGGTGAGCCGATTGTCCTTTGTGGCTCCAAGTTGCCCCAACCATTCGAGTTCCCTGGAGGAAATATTACAGTGACACACCACTTCCTCCCACATCTGTTTCCTGTGTCGTCTTTTTTGTTAAACTTTGCCAGAGGTATGACAGCATGGTGTTATATTTATGGCTCTGTATTTCTGCAGCAAATTCCAGTTCTTGTTTTCAAAAGATGGCCTTAATTCCTTTCTTTGTATCTTTTTTTTATTTTTTTATCCCCTTCTGTTTGTACACATCCAGACTCTGGTGAATGCCCAGTAACATCCTTTCAGTGCCCCGGGGGCCGCTGCCTTCCTCTCTCTTGGCGCTGTAATGGTCAGGTGGAGTGTCTCGATGGAGGTGCTGACTTCGGGTCCGATGAACAGGGCTGTGATACAGATGTGGAACCCACAGAAGCCCCAAAGTATGGCAGCACAGAGGACGAGCAGACCAAAGCGGAGACTTACACGGAGGAGGACAATGATAAGAACTTGGTGAGACGTAAGGTTGTAGATAAGACACCTGAGGGAGATCCTGATTCTGATCTTTGGGCGCTGCTGAAGGAGAGGGAGGAGGAGGAGGCCCAGGTGGATCGAGAGCAGGCTCAGACTCACAGGGAGCTCGCCGTGACACCCACTCCCATTGAGTGGCCCTGCGGAGGGCTCCACCAGACCTTCTATGGGACCTTCTCCCCTCCAGCCTCCCGGGGGCCTGCGCTGTTCTGTGTCTGGACTCTGGACCCTCAGGACCCGAGGCCACTGAGACTGGACCTGCAGCAGCTGGTTCTGGGGCCCGGGGACAAACTCACTGTGTACAATAGAGAGCAAGGCAACGGAGACATTATTAAAATTGTGAGTTTCTTTAAATCAGAAACGTTTAGTAGAGATGATGGATCTATCTTATTTAATATGATTCTCTTCCTTTTGACAGATCACCAGTACCTCCAATTACAAATCAGTCCAAGTTGAATCCCACACTGGCCTGCTGTCCTTGACGTATGAGACTCTTCTTGGCTCCGTGGGCAAAGGCTTCAACGCCACGTTCCACGTCGGGACCTACTGCCCCCCTTGGGAGGGCCGGTGTGGGGGAGCAGCAGGAGGTTGCTTCACCCAGGAGCAGCGCTGCGACGGGAAATGGGACTGTCCGGAGACAGGGAAGGACGAGGAGGGTTGCAGGGGCTGCAGTCCGAACCAGTTTGCGTGCGGTGTCGCAGGGCAGAGAACGGTGGCGTCTAATCACTTTGCTGGCCGACCAGTGTGTTACCCAGTCACAGAGAGATGCAACTACCAGCTGTACTGTGCCGACGGCAGCGACGAGAGGGACTGTACCGTGTGTCAGCCGGGGACCTTTCATTGTGACAGCGACAGGTCAGTGTGAGAGTTTCAGACTGACGATCTGTTTTATTACCCGGACTCAGAGAGGACAGTTGTCTCATTTTTGTTTTCATCGTAGTTGGTTTGAGCTTTGAAAGCTTATTCTTGTCCTTTTTGAAGTAGCATATAACAAAACAGTCTCTCTTCTCTCTCTCTTCAAGGTCCATTTAGTAGCTCCTCAGCTATTGTTTTGTTTTCACATAGATTGTTTTGCCTAATGAGATAAATGGTGTGTGTCTTCATTGTGGTCCGGTTAGTTAAGTATCATTGCTAGGTGTGTCTTGGTTATAAAGTGTGTGTGAGTCAGAGGGTGTGTGCAGGAATGTGACTATCTAAGAATTTAAGTTGATTTTTAAACTCAAACTGAGACTAAAAAGTGTTCATAGATTTTCCAGAAATAAACACTGAGACTGTACCTTGTGTTTCCAATTTTAGTGTATTGGATTTGTTAAATTAATGTGTAACTGAAAACCTAATAACTAAGTAAAGCTGATCACTAAAGACATCATATCAGGTCATGAGCCTCAACACTTCATTGTTTAACATTATTTAAATACATGTTTGATTATTGCATGTATTGGTTATGACAGCTTCATTCAAGTCTTACATTAATGAATCAAATGATGATACATAACTTAATAATTGTTTAATACACTATTAGTATCTAATCATAAGATTGGTTTTATTATAATGTTTCATAATGGACGCCTCAGGATGCAGCTTCATGTGAAACTGAATCTCTCTCTGGAGTTATTCCTCGTTCACTCTAACACACAAGTGGCCCATTGTCCCGTCTGCAGGTGTGTGTTTGAGAGCTGGCGCTGCGACGGCCAGATAGACTGTAAGGACGCAACAGACGAGCTCAACTGCACCGTCATCCTGCCCCGCAAGGTCATCACTGCAGCAACAGTTGGCAGCCTGGTCTGTGGGCTTCTGCTGGTCATCGCCATGGGCTGCACCTGTAAACTGTACTCGCTCCGGACCAGAGAGTACAGGTAACTCTTACCTTACCTTTAGGCATTTAAGCAACTAGTTCCCCTGTAGTTTCTTCTGGATTATATGTTTTGTGTTTGCTTTTTATACACTAGGTTTTATAATATCTTTTTGCTCCCGTGATGCACCATTATAGGGATTTTTCTCTGACTTGGACTGATGCCCCTCTCAGGTTTTGTGCTAATAATCTGTGATAGTGAGTCACAAGTTTGTTTTCCTTACTACTAGCTGCAGTCGTTGCCAACACTACCAGACAGCACCTCTCAAACACACAGCAGAGCCTCTCACACAGCCAGTACACTGCGTACTCCTCTCTTAATGATAAGAGAAACAAGAAGCACCAGGTTGTTGTTGTAAACTGTGAGCATCCCACGTGCAGTTGGTCTCAGCCAAAGTCGGTTATGTCATGTGTACTCAACTTAACTCTAATATAACAAAAACAATGAGTGCTGTAAGAGATAAATAAACATATAATAAAGGACTCTACATGCATCTCAAGTGCTTCACAATAAAAAAAACAAAATGTGTTGGCAGTTTAAAGCAAAGTGACAGTGTGTGTGTGTGTGTGTGTGTGTGTGTGTGTGTGAATGCATCTAAATGTGTCTTACTTTTCTGGCAGCTTGTTCGCACCAATCAGCCGCCAGGAAGCGGAGCTGATCCAGCAGCAGGCTCCTCCCTCTTACGGTCAGCTGATTGCCCAAGGCATCATCCCCCCAGTGGAGGACTTCCCCACAGAAAACCCCAATGAGGTGAGAGAGGGGCTATAAGCTGCCTGCAGGGAGGCAGAGACTATTTTATCAGTATCTGATAAGCATTAGTTCCACTTTACATTGGCTCCTCACTTTGTTTACATATTTCTGAGGAATTATCACCTGATACTGATACCAATTGTCTTTTGTCTTTTAACCTCAGTGTCTACGTGTTAACCCTGAAACAGGCTTATTTACCTTACAGTACCATGAAATCATTCTACAGTGGGATTCAAAGCCTTAACCCCATGACCGGGGCCATGCCAAACACCTCCCGTAGAGTTGTAAAGGACCATAACAGCATGAATACTGAGTGCTGCTCGGGTGTGAAAAAGGTGTCCCCTTAGGTGCTCTTCAGTTTGGGGGATCCTGCCTCAGATTTCTTTAACAATTCTAATCCAAACAAATAGTTTAATTTAAAGTTTGAAAGAAAGGAGTCAGTCAGAAAACCCTCCGTCTTATAAACTGAAAACAGGGAGCTTTGATGATATATTCATTCATGGGAAAAGAGGCCACATTGCTGCGTTGATCCTCCCTCGACTCTTCAGCCACACTAAGTACGCTGTCGTCTATAGTAGCCCTTGTTTTATCTGTCTTTAAGTCGTGTACTCCTCTCCAGCAGCCTTACTAATCCCCAGCAGGCTGTGTAGGCTGAAGTAGGAAGAGTGTTAAGATAGAGCGTATGTGCTGTTACCATGCAGGTTCATGCTTTATTATTAGTTGGTGAGGACAGCTGAGGTAGCAGAGGAGGCGGAGGGATTAAGCGTAAAAAAAAAAAAAACAAAGCCCGCTCTGTGTGATGGGATTTAAGCTACCTACTCTGGATCCAAGTCTTGTGAATAATAACATTATTATTATTATTATTATTATTATTATTATCATTATCATTATCATCAGAGTTGTGCATGGGTCCAGTTTTGCAAACCTGCACAGGCAAAGCTCAGGACTGGGACTGGACCATTATTATCTCCAAGTCAAATCCGGGCCCGCCCCGAACTGTTAAATAATCCTGTGATCCAACCTGCCAACCTGCCAACCGGTGGTTTGAGAGTTGTGTTCTTGGAAAAGTATCAGTGCCACTTGGCTCAGCGCCTGTGTTCCTGTTGCAGCTGTACGTTTCCTCAAGGACAGTTTGCTGAGCTGGTGGCTTTCACACGAAAAAAGATCAATAAAATACTGGTTCGATAATATTAACTTGATTTTTAGATGTTAAAAATAGCCTTTTTAACATCATATTTAAATTCATATTTCTCCAGAAAATACTACATATTTCACACCTGCTGCCCCCATGCCATACCTGTAAATTTATTAAAATATATATTTCTTACACAGCAGTTACCCGACCCAGTAAAGGACTGATAACTATTATATTTGGTATTTCAAATGATTTGAATAGATATCAAGTGTTTGTAGAAGGTATTTTAACAGATTTTTTTCCTTTTTTTTTACTCTGTTTCCTTCTCGTTAGACCTCGTCTCTTTCTCTGAGGGGAATCCTCCAGCTCCTCCGTCAGGACGCCGCCAACTCCCCACACCGCAGACGCAGGCCCCGATTCATCCGTCGGGCTGTTCGCCGCATGAGAAGATGGGGTCTAATCCCCAGACCTCCCACCAGGCCAAGTCAGGCAACAAGCTCCAGCCAGCAGCAGTCAGACGCCGCTCCTCCTGGCCAGGAACCAGCTCACTCCACTCCCACGAGCTCCTCGTCGGCCGTGGAGGCGGTCAACCAGCCGGTGCCTCAGAAACTTGGCTTGTTGGCTCAGTCAGAGCAGCAGCAGCAGCAGCAGCAGCAGGAAGCACCGCCTCCTCTACTTCCGCCGCCTGTCGCTTCCCCACCTCCACCTCCGTATGCTCCCCCAGCTCCACGCTCGGCCACTCCCCACTCTCCTCCTGTCGCCGTCCCCCCTAGCAGCCCCTCGCTGGCCTCCATCTTCCACACGCTGGGCCTGAGTATCTCCCTCTTCAGAGCCTCCCCCTCGTCCTTCACCAACTCAATGCCCCTCTCCGCCTCCCCTTCGTTCTCTTCCTCCTCGTCTTCTTCAGATGACGAGGTGCTGCTTATCCCTCTGTCTGAAGACACCACTTCAGAGGATGATGTACCCATGCTCACCTGAATGACTTCCCCCACCCACCTGGTACCCCGACACCCCTCCTTTATCTCCTCTGCTCACTGATAATAACTGAAACCTAGTCTTTCCACATTTGTTTGAACTTAAGCACAGGAGTGGCCCACGGCAAGACTCACCCTCACTGTGCTAGTCTGGTGCCTTTTTGAAATTGAGTTGGATTTGTTGACTTATGGAATCAAGTATTTGACCATTTTAAAAAAAAAAAAAAAAGACCCCTTGAGAAAGTGTAAGCATGTCTGACGTATGTTTAACAAGTAAGTGTAGGTGAGTATTGGATGTGCACTTAATGAATGATAGGCTGCACATTGAAGGTAAACTTTTGCACAGAAGAATCTTCCCTATCCAGAAACTGGGGCAGGCTACTGTCAGATTGAATGGTTAGAGTTTTTAGATGACATGATGGGAAAATATTGTGTTTGTTTGACTGCAACTGTGTGAATGCATTTGCATTTTAGTCTTACATTGACAGTGGAGTATGTTTGTAGATGTGGATTGTCTCCACATACTTCTGCCACTTGCATCCAATCTCATGTTATATCACAGATAATTATATAAATATAAAAAAAAAAGAATAATTTCCCCTATTTAAGTGCCTTTTGAGGAGTTTCCTGTAGATGGCTGGAGGAGATATCGATGATTCCTGAAATCCACACTGCACACCAAAACACACGGAGGCACACGTTTTCTCACATCATAGCACGCGTCGACATCAGTGGCTTTACTATAACGTAAAATAAAAAAAACAACAACTGCATGTCTACTCTGCAAGCTGGCAATAAGTTTTTGGGACCCCTAGTTTAGTGCACATTGATTGCAACATAACTGCGTGTTTTGAGTACACACACACACAAACATGTGTACCCTTCCCAAGTGAATGTATGTAATCTACAAAATGTGTCAAAAGACAATCTCTTTGGTGCCTGATTTTAGGATGTGTGTATGTATGTGTGTGTAGTGTGCACAGGAAGATGAGGCCCCCCCGCCAGAGACGAAAGGGGCCCTGAATTCACAAAATAACCTCAACTTGAATCTTCAACCCTTGAGGGGAATCGATCGCATTCTGTCATATTTTGACACAGCAGACTTGTGGTGTGCCATTTGTATTATTGTACATTTTAAGGTGTTTTTATTTTAGCAATCTCTCTTTTTTTTTTTTCTTTCTTCTGAGTTCTTTGCTTTGTTGAATGTATTAGGGTCGATGTGGAGTAGCCAGAAGTTTTAAATTTGCAATGTAATAAGGTAAATAAGAGAGAACGTGATTTTATGGTTTATTAGGGTCAACTTCACTGTATATAAGTAAAAATGTGGCTGAGATTAAACAATTTGCACTTTTAGCTGTTGGGTTTGTGTGTGCGTTTGTGCGTTGGGGGTTAAAAGCAGGGGTAAAAAGATGCCTCACACCTCAGTAACAGATGACAGTCGTTGCATTGTGCTTTGTATTCAAAACTCTGATGGAAATTCACAGACTTCTGAGAGAGAGAGATCCTCAGTGGTTCTTCTGGAAGAGGTTCAGACCATCACTCTGGTGTGCAGGAGAAAAGGTGAATACAGAACAAATGAAGCTGTTTCTGTTGCTGTTGAGGATTGAGACTACATGGATGTACTGAAGTTGCATTCGCCTACAAGGTAATCCTAATGAATAGATTTGATTTTAATTGATAAATTGGTGCAGTGAAGTGTTTGCTGGAGCTGAAATTCACCTTTAAAAGCTCATATTTTCATATTTGTAGTGTGGACATTCTGTTTTTTGATCCAGGACATGTAATACCTCACAACACAAGAGCAACTGTAGTCAATATTGTAGAAACACTGAGGTCATGTGTCCAGGTTCCCCTTCACACACATATTTAAATTATTCAGGTAACTTCCTTTATATTTCTGTAAGCTATTGTTTGCCAACATGAAGGTCTTAATGCTGTTGCAAAGCGTTATTCATACAACCAGGAATATTTTTTTTTCTACTTACACAACATTTAAATATAGCTATTAAACCCACTATTTCGTTGTTGTAGAATATAACTCCTGCCAGGTCTCTAACCTCTCTGTGTCATCAGCATTTATTATCAATCCAAATAAATTACTTTACAAAATAAAAGACATTTATTAAGGAACACAAAAGATAATGTTGACTTTAATGATGGAATAATCAATAAAAATTTAATTGGCAACCTTATATTTAGTATCTTTTAGTATGATAATAATGAATATAATTCACTGTAATGCATTTTATTTAGGATCCTGCTCTATAGGCTGTTGGACATTAAAGTCTCAGTGAATGTATGCTGCAGCTTAGCAAAGCACCTCAGCCAAAATGTCCAACAGCTAATCCTCACCCTCGCTGTGACCCTGAAATAGGTCCCATCTATAATTATGGTTTTACCGCCGCCCCAGAGACTCTGGGTGGGGATGCTGGTGGTAATAGTGGCAGTGGCGGAGCTCCCCGGATCCCTGCAGAAGTGCATCTTTGATGAGGTTCAGGCTCAGGCCAGGGTGGTCCGAGCTGCACCCATCCACACACACGTCCCACCCAACGAGCCCAGACTCAGATGGAGGGCATCACCTCTGCCTAGCCTGTCAGTGAGGCGGAGGAGAAGCCTGGGAAAGAGAGCCACGCCCACTTCTTCCTCTCCACAGCCAATCAGGATCCAGAGCTGGATTCAAAGGGAGAGCAACAACCTATGGGAGGAGGAGAAACAGAGGCTGGAGGCAGCGATGGAGGAGGCTGTGAGGGTGGTGTCTTCTTTACTGTCAGGTGAAAAACAGAAACACACACACACACACACACACACACACACACACACACACACACACACACACATACATACAGTAATGAACTGTTGACCTTTCAGTAGTGAACAGAGTACCGGGTCCGTTGCTGCTCAGCAGAGACATCAACAAATACTGCAAGTTTCTCTGGAGGAATTCAAGTATTGCCAACTACAACCGGTGTGTATACAGTGTGTGTTTGTGTGTGTGTGTGTGTGTGTGTGTGTGTGTGTGTGTGTGTGTGTGTGTGTGTGTGTGTGTGTGTGTGTGTGTGTGTGTGTGTGTGTGCGCAGCTCCAATCATTCAAACACACTCCTTTTTCTTAAAATTATAATTTAAAACAGATTTAAAAATAAAATATGTTGAGATTATCCAGGAAGGAAGGAACTGATTTTTCATCAGGTCATAAAACTTTTCTTTATGTTACAATATGAAAGTTTAAACATCAGCAAAATATTTGCTTTAATACATTTAGACTCCATAGTAGGTGAGGTTGTTGTGAATTAAAGTTTTTTATTTCAGGTGTGGTCGAGCCAACAATAACTACAGATCTGAGACCTGTCTGGATGTGACAGTGAGTATCAGACTTTGATTTAGTTACTCGGAGTGTATTCCTGTGGTAAGCTGGGTTTCTACCGTGTACCTGCAAACATAAAGAGCTTAAAATCCAGTAGCAAATATATCATATCCCTGTTATCAACAGATCCCAGATGATCATCTGGCTGGATGTGACATTTACACTGAGGCTGATTCACCTCGCAGGACTGAGCTCCGTCCTGACGGTGCTGGACTCCCCGACACCGACTTCCTGATGTACCTTCACGTACAGGCCACTGACAAGTGTAGATCCGAGGTACAGACCCACTGGAAACACTGAGATCTTTTGATATTAAAACACGTCTAAGAAGTTCAATAGTTGATGATGTGTGTATGTAGCACTTCAAAAGTGCGTAATAAAGAACCAACAGCGGGAACTACTACCACAAGATTTATTCTGTTTTGTAAATTTCTCTAGGAAGCATTGTGTTTTTTATTTGCTAACAAAATAGCAGCAACAGACACACATAAAGAATATTGCTGCATTAAAACAAAAAGCATCACTGTCTGTACATTGGAGACATTTCCCAACATCAGATTCCTACAAGAACAAATGTGTAAACTTTAATTCAGTGATGATATGAATGAATGAATTAATACATTCTCCTTCATTAGCTTAGAATCAAATGTTTCTTCTCTGGGCTCATGAAAACTATGTGCAGCTGTCATTCTCTGCTGTTTCTACCTTCCTCCTTACATTCTGTTTGCCCCTTAGCCCAGTGTGTTGGCCTACGCTGTCCACTGCCAGACGGACGCTCACGGGCGACCTGTAGCTGGGGTGGTGGTCATCTGCAGGGACAGACTGACAGGAGCAACATACAACCACCAGGCTACCGTACAGGTACCATTAATAATGTTATTTAAGGCTGCAGAGGTTGTGCATTGGCAGTGGTGTTCTTATCATCTCTGGTTGTTATTTGGTTCAGTATAGGCTGTTCCGGTTGTTTGTCTTTTATTATTAATACTACATGGAGGCAGCTATATGTGCACAGTATTTGGGTCCAAGACAAATCTTCCTACAGGGACAATAAAGTGTATCCTATCGTACCATAAAATAATCTTTTATGTGAGTTTTTATTTGTGTGTTGATGTGTTGAATTGTGTATGCTCATCTGTTTTCCAGACTGTGATCCATGAACTGTTTCATGCACTTGGCTTCTCTAAACATCTCTTCCACACCTGGAGAGACTGTTCCTCTACTTCTCCAGGTTGTTAAACACATTTTAATATTTTTATGTTGCTGTATGAACTTTCAATGCATTATGTGATATTACATTATTATATAATAGTGTTTATTTGTCTCGTTTATTGTGTTATTTAGTGTACTTTTACCAAATGTAAATGAAATGATTCTGAGACAGCTGATCTACTTGTGGGTTAATATAGTAAAAAAAGAAACATTGATTATTTGATAAACCATTGACATACACTCACTTACCCTATTTAATTGCACAGTTGAATTGTGCAGTGTAAGCCCTGGATGAGGAAACGTAAAAAGCAAACGTAAAAGAGACATAAAAAAATAAGTAGCAGTATAAACATTTTATTTAAACAATAAATAGATTAAACAATATAGATTAGTATAAAATGGTTTAATAATAATGATCAAAACAAAGTTACAATGTGTTTTTAAATAGGAAAATAAAGATAAAGCAACAATTAAATAAGAAAAAATAGTGGAATAAACACAAAAGTAGATTAGACGTATTGGAAAATATCAATTAAAACTTCACATGGGCCAAATTCTGTACAATATCTGGACTAACGTTGAGTTTATTACACATTGTAACTCACATTAAAGATCATACTGGTTAGAAAATGGTTATTCTAATGTGTTTCTCTTTTGCTGTGCTGCAGTGGGAGCGAACTGTTCTCCTCGAGGCAAAGTGACTCACTCTGATGAATCGGGCCAGATGAGGATTTACACCCCGTCCGTCATCTCAGCCCTGCAGAAGCACCTGGCATCTGCTGACCCTGAGTTAGGGGGGCCGCTAGAGAACCTGGTACCGTGCAGCTCCAACTTAACCCTTTTCCAGTTTTATCATGTGCTCTCCTTACATGTGTTACACTTTTTGTCTTCAGGATGTACCTGCGGGCAGAGTCTCCTCTCACTGGGAGTCCCGGGTCCTGCAGGGGTCCATCATGGCGGCAGTGCTGGGGGACTCGACCACAGTCCGCATCGACTCGGCCACCTTGGCGGCGTTACAGGATACAGGCTGGTACACTGTCAACCTGAGCCGGGCACAGAGTCTAGTCTGGGGAGACGGTAAGCAAAGAGTGTGTTTGATATTTAATGCAATCATATAAATACATGTAAAATCTGCATTATTACAAACAGGACAGTAGACTCATTTATAAGATTGTATGCCAAAAATATCAATTTTCATAAATAAATGTGTGTTTTTGTAGGTGAAGGAGCCACGTTTGGTTCCCTGTCAACCTGTCAGGACAGGTCCTCATCCTTTTTCTGCACTGGCAGGTAGATTTATAATTATGTTTAGTTATGTTTTCAAGTTGAACGTGAGTCACCTTTTTCTTTTCATACTACATTTCCAGCAGTTATGTTTGCATTATTCCTTCTTCTCAGTGGATTTGGGTGTCATTATCTTCACCTCCACAAGGGGGAGTGCCAGACTGATCAATACCTGGAGGGGTGTCGAGTGTATAAACCTTTCCAGAATGGAGTAAGTTGCATTTACTCAACTAGTTTTCTTGCAAATCATCTTCACCAAACAATATAATTCAGATTATAAAATAAATTCAATTATTTTTTACTCATTTTTATAGCCAGAAGTCTTTTACTTATTTTCATATTTATCAAAATAGTAAAAAAGAATGTAAATTTTTCATATCTGTCCATATCTGGACAGATTTCCAATCATGTAAAGCAACAATATGGGATCAGCCCTATTTTTCATGCTATCACTTGGAATATTTACCTTGATGCCATTGCATCACCACATTTTCACTCTTTTTTTTCTCCTTTTGTCCTCCAGAGTGAATGTTGGAAAGAGGAAAATGGCAGGAAGTCAGCTGAAGAGGTCTGGAGCGGGGAGATCTTTGGCTTTGACAGCCGTTGCTTCTTCTCCAACCTGACCAGACAGGTGTGTGTGTGTGTAAAATGCTTGATACTCAACTCTTTGTTTAACATTAATTCCTTCTCTCTCCACCTCTCTCAGAGTCCGTCTCTTTTGTTCAGCAGCCCTGTGGAGGGACGATGTTACAGACACAGGTGTACTGGACCAAACGGGTACCAAATCCAGGTGTCTGGCTCTGAATGGGTGGACTGTCCAGCAGGGGGCACCATTCAGGTAACAAGACACGACAAACATATGTAAATATGCATCCTTTAAATCAGTTGAGAGATACTTACTAACCACTTTGTTTAAAGTATCCTTTCAGCTATGTAATATCCAACCATAAGACAAGGGACCCACCTTGGCTTTTCTTACTAATGTTAAAAGCCAGAGTGATGCACGAAGACATACTTTGCCTTCTCCACCATTCAGAGTTTGACACTGAAATACTGATGTTTAAAAACTCTACACCCAGCACCAAACAAATCCCCAATTTATTTTATCTTTTCTGTTTTTAACCCCTCAGATAAAAGGATACCAGGGTTTAGTTTCCTGCCCTGACAGGAGGTTATGTCTGTACCCTGATGTTACTCCTCCCTCAGACAATGTCATTACATTTCCTGCTTCTATTACAAGGCAAGTATGACTTTAAACAACCTTCTTGATTTACAGGAACCCTTCACCTCATGCTAACTTTACTTTACTACTTTTTGGTCAGTGATCCCTATGAGACTTTAACTTCAGCCCAGAACGGGACCTGGGCACCTCTTAGACCTCCTACAGAGCTCACTGTAGCCACAGCGCTCGGCATCACTGCTGCTGTGTGTCTCCTGGCTGCAGTCGTGGTGTCTTACAGGAAATGTTGCTCCTGCAGGGTCAGGATCCACTCTGCTCCAGAGCACCACAGCGATCTGTAGAAAACACTGCGTGTAAAAAACGTTTAATGTTTGTGTTGAATAAAATGTGATTTAGTTTTTCCTTTTCCTCCTCTGTCATATGTTTTAAAGCTTAATTATCATTTTATTGTAGAAGGGAAAGAGATATTAAAATAGAAAAATGAGATTGCAAAACAAACTGTAAATTAAGAAATCAAGGAAATATTATTTTTTATTATTTTTATCATTATACAACACAAGTCTCTTTAACTAAATTAAAGTTTGTATTTCCTTCATGCTACACATTAACTGGATAATTAAAGACATTATAGACTTTCAATTAACAAACAGTAAAATGAGTAATAAAGATTATAGCTGTTAACAAATACATTGTAAAGTAAATTTAATGTGGTGACATATTGTTTAAAATCTTAATGTGTACAGATAAATTATCTTCTAGGCTCAAAGCAAACTAATTATGACAAAATATTAGAAAGCAAAGGAAGAAGAATTAGTAAGGGTTTAAATAATAGTACAAATACAAAAATACAAAGGTGCTTAAGTGAGCTGTATAATTATGGAAAGGCAATGTACTGTGATAAAGCTCCAGAGAGTGAACCCATGAACAATATAAATCAATATCTGCTCTATTGTCTTATGAATATCAATAAACTATCCTGGTTAAACACTGAATCAGTTCAACACATTTTTAAAAGATGCGTTTATTTCATAGGACATGCATTTAAAACAATAGGAATAAAATATGGCCTAACCTGGTTGTAAAGGCTACCTTTGATTAAACTAAAAGCTGATATATTGTCTCCACAAACAGTGCCCTCCCCTGGGTCTGTATCTTTATTAATCATGGTGTTAAATAAATACAGTTGCACATGCAGCCTATTTCCTCTTCCATACAGGTATTGAGGTCTGTCTGGGGGCTACACCACTGAAGCAACGTGTAAAATATGAGTATGAGTTCAGCCTCAGGCACTCTTTAGTGGTCTTCAGGCACACAAAACAGAACTCCACCTTACAACGGGGACATGTGATGTTTTTACATTTTGTTTTGTTATGCTCCAGCAGCAATCCGCAGGTGGGACAGGCACGGACAGATGGACAGCCAGTGACCCCCCTCACATCCTTGAAGGTAATATCTGGGCAGGTTCTCAATATTTCTTGTGACTTATTGACGCAACCAGCATTTGCACAGCGGTCTGAATATGGAGATGGATGTTTCCACTCCTTCAAGCACTGCCAGCAGAATGAAAAGGCCTCATTTTTTGCAGCTGTGCACACTGTGCAGCAGACCCTCAGATTATTCTGGTCAGTCCTCACCACATAGGACCTGCAGCCAGGACACTGTTAAATGGAGAGTTTGTTTGAATGCTTATGTGTGCACAACATTTTATAACTAGAAAATGTGGTTTCAAAGAACAATTTGTTAGATGTTTATTCAAGATACTTACAAATTTGGCATCCAAGTAATCCCTGGCAGCTCTGCTGAACAATTGTTTTTCAAAGTACTTCACTTCTTTGGGGGTTAGAAGAGCCATTTTACAAACCTCCTCGAAGGGCCACTCAACGTCACAGCCAGTCTGTCCACACACAAATCTGCACTCACCCTTCAAAATCAAAGAAAAACTTTGAAAGCGAATAAAATATCAACAAATTCTTCAGCAACAACCAACCTGCTACTGCCTTCTATCTCACCCTTAGAGATAGAAAAGAAAACCAGGTAAACATTCATGATTGAAAAAATGAAATAAGAAATCCAGTACCTTTTTATTATGTGCTTATTTTTCACTGCTGTTCTCTCTTAAAGCTGCAGTACATATATTTTTTGTCATATTTGCTGAAACTTTCATTAGTTGCTGACAGTTGTACATGAGACACATAATCTGTGATAAAACATCAGTTTCCTCTGGCTTCTTCTAGTGTTTCTAATAGCGTTAGCAAGAATCCACTGGGCCTGAACGTAAACAACCAATCAGAGCCAAGAAAGATATAAAGATGCTTTGGGTTGGAGGCTTGAAGATAGTTAATTGTTGAGTCTCCAGTGTGTCAGTATATGATGCCCTGCAACAATCAACTATCTTCAAGCCTCCAACCAAAAGCATCTTTATATCTTTTTTTGCTCTTTCCAAAACTGTTCCATGCCAACATAACCATCTGCTAATAAAGAAATTATTCTTAAATAAAGATTCACTAATATGCTACCTGGTCCAACAACCTGCGACACCAGCCGGTGAGAGACATCGGAGTGACAGTATGACCGCAGGACATCTTTGCTCTTAGAGACTTGTAGCCAATACACAGAACTGTGAGACAAAAACAAGTTTACTTTACATCCTTCAAAGAACTTAATAATATATCTGGATCAGGTAATTAATACTGTTAAAGATCATCTTGATTCTTTGGTTACTTACAATCCATATCATCATCTCCATCCACGAATGTGAGTGTGGTGTCTGTAGGGTCGTAACACTTCTCCTGTTCAGTGGCCAAGTTGTTGCTCAGTTGTCCAGAATCAATCAATTTCTGTTTTTTCTGTGTTGCCAAATTGTTGCACAATTGTATATCGTAAAAATAGGGTTGACTGATGTATTTTTGTGTTCTTCTTCTTAGTGATTGAGCAGTATAACTCTTTTCAGTTGTGAAACTGTTCTTTTGAGATGCCAAATTGTTGCTCAGTTGAGAATCAGTATTCCTTTCATTTGTAAAATTCCTTCTCACTTTTCTAGAGTAACTTTTCTCCTGTTCAGTTGTCAAACTGCTGCTCCGTTGTCCAGACTTTCTCTTGTTTTGCTTAGTTGTCAACTTAGAGCCCATCTTGATTCTCGAAAATCTATTTATCCTGCAAAATAACAACAGATTAGCTAGATGTATAAGACAGTTTTCAGCTGCACCAAATCCACAATTAAAAGACTGGATCAAAGTTTTCGTTTCAGTTGCATTAGTATCGCTTGCACCTGAACAAACACACTCTGTACACTCCTCACAGTGAACCAGCTCAATGACAAAATGCCAATCCAGCTGAAGGTAAATTGACCCCCCCCCAAAAAAACAGTAAAAAAAAGTTACTTTTCTCTGTCAATAGCTGCTCGTTGATAAGGACAACAGATAGATACATAATAAATGAAGATATAAGAAAACACAACCACAAGGGAGCCAACAACCCTAACATTAATAATAATAATGTACTCTAAAAATATATAATAATATACATGTATATATCTAATTTCTGCTCAGCTGAAGACATCCAGATGGACTTAAATTCAAAGTAGATTTAATGAAAGTAAATAATCTTACCAGGGATGAAGTAAACTGAGTTCAGCAGAGTGTAGCACTTGTTTCCAAAAGTCTTAACCTACTTGTTGTAGTAGTTTCTAGTCGTGTGGCATAAAAGGATTGTTGTATGTATCACTGCAGTTACTGGATTTGTCATCATCACATTATTTAAATGGTTCCGCTTGGTGATGAACTTTCCCCGCAACACAACAGGCTGCTTCAGTGCCACCTGACAAGATCTGCAGCATTGTTTGATGAGGAATGTTAAAGGAGCAGGTAAATATGTGGACACAACGGTCGTTGATTTCCCGTTGTGATTTCCTGTTGTTTGGCCAGCCTCAAGAACAGTCCAAGTTGGGCCAGCGTGACTCCCTCTCCTCTTGGCGTGACAGCTCTCACCGTGGTGGGCTGTTCTGGTAGTGTCTCAAAGTCCACTGCTCTTTTATCCAAATAAAAATAAAGCCAAAGAGAATAACAGCTTACAACAAAACTGTAGCAAAGTTTGAATCACATTGCATCAAAAATGTATACAATGTGAAGAAAATCACAATATATTTTATTTCAAACTAAATTAACAGCAATTAAACTCCCAGCTGCTGCAAGTGCCACAGTTTTTTCTTTGTATTAACCATTGCTTCTCTACTATAATTAAGGCCCCTTTGACCAGCCTCGTACCCTTTTTCTTTCATCCTGACTGCTGCATGCATTTGTGAGACAGCCACCACCACTTTGTGTAGTGCTGTACCAAAGCAAACACATGACACTGTAGCTCAACATACAAAAACTATTGTTTTATTACTTGGTTTATGTGTAACCTATAAACAGGTGGAAACTTTTTGTAATTGAGTCAGTCGAATGCCATTTTTGCTTGCATGTAACTTTTTTGTATCACACATTGGGTTACATTGTCACTTTTTAAATCGTTCTCAATGGGTTAGCTTTGCTTCTTCCAGTGTAAAGTATTTGGTAGCTTTCAAGTTAGTTTCCCTAACACTGTCACTGTCTGTGCCAGCAGGTGCCACAGAATATAGGTACTTACCGTACTTCTGTAATAGTTGGAATACCTGCTTCTGCTGCTTCGTCATCATTTAATCATGTGACTTCTTATATAAGCGACTATTAATTTACAAACCTGAAAATATCCTTGTTGGATCAAAATGTTGTCTGATATATTGAAGTTTATAAAATACAATTTAGAATCTAAACACAATTAAATAAAGGTCAACAGTATATCTTCAGAGTTTTTTAGTGTTGTTGAGCAAACATCACGTTAGTTGTAAATTGACATTTATGGCTTTGTAGATAAAGTAATGTGATGATGTTCAGAGATTTTGGGCATTAACATGAATGTAGTCATACTGTATTCTGTCAGTGGGTGGATGAAATATGAAAACAGATATATTTAGGTTTGTTTAGCTTTCTTTATTTGCACATGTAACAAAACAATAAAACACAAGTGATAAAAATTCAGATTAAAAAGACACAAGACAGAAAATGACTAGCAAAGGAGAGAAGGGGCTTAAATAGACAGAATTCACTCATTAAATAACCTTTAAGTATACATTCGGATTAAATCATTTTTTACTTTTGTGGACAATAAAATTATATTCTGTTCTGGTTCATATTTGTGAGAGATGAAGATTGAGTTGCAGTATGATGGTACATATTGCACAACTGAGATCACCTGACAGAGAGAGATTTCACCAATATATTCAAATCAATGTGAACAAAGCCTTTTATAAGCAGATTCATTGTTTATCATTTCACATTTATTCATATTATCTATTTTTTTGTGATGCTTACTGACTTCATTTTGGCCAAGACCAGGACCAGCTCATGGAGCATCACTGCTACACATAATGTATTCAAACCAATAGTATATGTTTATTTATCTCTATATTACAGGAAAACAACAGTGTTATGTTAAGACAACAAATACATAATCAGTTAAATACATAATGATAAAACAATGGAATGTAAATATTAGAGATTAAAATGACTGCAAACAAGAAGATAACATTAAAGAAGTTAAAGCAAAACTTAAGGAAAAATGTGACATAATAAACAGTTTCAAATATGACTATAAATATTAACTACAATTTTTAGTTTGAAGTAGAAAATGTTTCTCAAAAAAAGAAATTCCAAAGTTGTGTGATGTTGTTGGTATGGGGTTGAGTTTGTGTCTGAGAAATAATCATGAGGATAACTGTGTTTGTATTTCTTGAGATCACAGAGTTAAATCAACAGAATTATTTCCTCTTCCACACAGGTATAGAGGTCTGTCTATGTGCTACACCAGTGGAGCAAAGTCTGTAATATGAGGAGGACTTACGGCACTCTTTACTGAGCTTCAGGCACACAAAACAGAACTTCACCTTACAGCGGCGACAGACGATGCTTTTACAGTATTTTCTGTTATGCTCCAGCAGCAAACCACAGGTGGGACAGGCACGGATGGAGGGACATCCAGTGACACCCTTCATATCCTTAAAGACAAGGACTGGACAGTTTCTTAGTGTTTCTAGTGGCTGATTAATGCAGCCATCATTTTCACAACAATCTAAACGTGGAGCCGGACCTTTCCATTCCTTCAAACACTGCCAGCAGAATCTATAAGACCTTTTTGTGTCAACAGTGCACACTGGGCAGAAAACACTCAGATCACTGAGCTCAGTTCTCACCACAGAGGACTTGCAACCAGGACACTGTGAAGTGAAGTTATAAGAAAAACATAATGAGATGTTTTTAAAATCACCCTTGTATTTGCATGCCCAATTTTTTTTCTTAGAACAGTTTATAAATAATGTTACTCAGACACTTACCACTTTGACATCCAAGTAATCCTTGGCAGCATTACTGAATATCTTCTTCTCAAAGTACTCCAGTTCTTCAGGGCTTAGAAGAGCCATCTTACAAACCTCCTCAAAGGCCCACTCAACATTACAGCCAGGTTGGCCACACACAAATCTGCACTCACCCTTAGATATTAAAGAGAAAATCAAAGAAAAGACTGTAAACATATTGAGCAAATCAGCAACAATCAACCTGCTACTGCTAATATGATTCACATCAGCTGAAGTTACATTCTCTCTTCTGTTCACTATAGAAATATTATATTGTTACACTTGTTCCTGTTGTGCATTTTGTCAGTGAAGTTTAGTCACTAATCAAAGAAAAACCTTTGAAAGCGAATAAAATATCAACAAATTCTTCAGCAACAACCAACCTGCTACTGCTTACATGATTCAAATCAATGTGTTAACTGTAGAAATCCTATTTTGTTACACTTTCTCCTGTTGTGCATTTTGTCAGTGAAGTTACTAAAAAGAATTTCATGCTGAAAGTGATGTTTAAACAGCCTACCTTGTCCAACAACCTGCGACACCAGTCGGTGAGAGACATCGGAGTGACAGCATGACCACAGGACATCTTTGCTCTCAGAGACTTGTAGTCAATACACAAAACTGTGAGACACACAAGAACAAGTTTACTGTTTATCATGGGGTTAGGGTTAGGAAAAAAAATTGTCGTAAACAGCAGTTGCTCATATCTGGATGAGGTAAATAATATTGTTTGAGATCATCTTGATTCTTTGGTTACTTACAATCCATATCATCATCTCCATCCACGAATGTGAGTGTGGTGTCTGTAGGGTCGTAACACTTCTCCTGTTCAGTGGCCAAGTTGGTGCTCAGTTGTCCAGAATCACTCATCTTCAGTTGAATTGCCAAATTGTTGTTCAGTTAAGAATCACTCTTCCTTTTTTTCAATTGAAGCCCATCTTGATTCACTGTGTTGAAGACATCCTGCAATAATAACAGATGAGCTAAAGTGGCCACAGAGGAAACAGAGGTTTAATCCACTAATCATCTGACTGTGAAGTCATGTGATTTTCAGTCTCCCCAAATCAGCAATCAAAAAGAGTTTGCATCAGAGTTTTAGTTTCAGTTACATTAGGACTGCCCTACACACTCTACACACTCATCAGAGTCGTCTCACTGAACCAGCTCAGTGACAAAATGCCAATCCAGGTGAAAGTAAATGGACCCAGAGGAGAGGAAAAGATCATTGATCTGTGTGACAGTGAAGAGCAGCTGAAGAGAATTACTGTGAAGGACCTGAAAACAAAAATTGCCCAGGAACTAAGGATAAGTATGTTTACGTCTCTGTTTTCTTTGTTATTATATAATTAAATTTATAGGTTATATTATACATAATCATAATTTAATTGCAGATGGCAGATATAATTTTTAGAAACATAACACCATACTTAAATAGAATTTAATGCAAAAATTATTTTTCACTGCCAAAAAAACACAACCACAAAGCTAAACCAGCCAATAACCATAAACAGTACATTAATAATAATAATGTACTCTAATAATATATAATAATATATATGTATATATCTCATTTCTGCTCAGCTGAAGACATCCGGATGGTCTTCAGGACTGAGCAGCTGGAGGAATCATGCCTGCTGTTGTCCTATGGGATTAAACACTTGTCCACCATCCACACACTGCTGATGCTGCCTGGAGGCATCTGAGAAACAACCCATAGACTCTACACTGCACCAACACAACTGGACCAATGGGCTTTACTATGAGCTCAAACACAGATTCAAATGTAAAAATAATTAAGATGCATTGTCCTTATGCTTCATTTGTCACATGCTAAAATAAATATCCTAAACATAGATACATTTTATAGCATTTTATTTTTGAGTGGTCACCTCTGCAATGGTTAAAAAAAGCGTTTGTCACTTGCGACTACAAAGTTAATTTAATGAAATTAAATAATCTTACCGGTGAGTTCAGCAGACTGTAGCACACTTCCTTTTCGAAGCAACTTTCTCAAAGTCTTAAACTTGTTGTTGTAGTTTCATGACAGGAGTGAAAACTAAATGATCTGCAGGAATTAGTTTTGTATATTCCAGATATCAACGCCACTAATTTAATTTCAACTGGCCTTCCTAGTCGGCTACAGTAGGCTACCACATTGATTTTTAAAAAAAACAATCAAGCCAGCTATGTGCTTTGGTTAAAAATATCAGCACCTAACCGGAAAGGATTGTTGCATAATCAGTTACTGGATTTGTCATCACAACATTATTTAAATGGTTTCGCTTGTTGAAGACGCTTCCCGCAACACAACAGAGGGAATACACCTGCAGCTTCATTGTCACCTGACAAGCTCTGCAACATTGTTGTGGTACAAAATCTCCTGATAGTTTAAAAACACAGGGACTCAATTGGTAATAATGATTATTATTATAACAGCAGAAACTCCAGTGATAATAATCCACTGACTCTAAGAACAAATACACAGAATCTCAAACATAAACATTTTGCAACATATTCTTGTTGATCCTATATTGATCCCTCCACCATGTTTTACAACCCAGTTTAATAATCTGATTAAACCTACAGTTATTTAAGAACATGCACCATAATATAAAGTGTAATTGGACTCTCAAATATTTATTTTTAATATGAGGTCTCTTAAATCTAGATTTTGACAAAGGGCCCCTCAGAGCCTAAGAACAGGTGAAAACAGAGGAGCCATCTTAAGACTCTTTCAATTTAAATGTATGTTGTGTCATATTGATGAATTCTTAAAGATAATTAATAATATTGTCACAAAGTTATTGTCAAGCAGTGAACCTGCATTCAGTCTTTGCAGTTACATACTGTAAAAACATGCCTTTAGGGCAGCTGGCCACTTTCCAACATCACGTACCAAGACTGAGTCCTTACTGCAGCTGGTTTCCAATCTCTCTGTATGTAGTTGCAGTAGCTTGCTGTTGGTTCAACTACATTCATATACCTGCATAATAACTTAATGTTCAAGGTAATTTATTTGATTAACATAATAAGGAGACTTGTGGTTCTCATTGGATATTTTTTGTTCATATTGCTTCCTGACTTTACTCTGGGCAAGACCAGGACCTGGTGGGACTCACTGTGGCCACAAAGCTCTGCATTACTGCTAAAACAGAAATAATTCATTCAAACCAATAGCATATATTCATTCATCTTTATTTTACAGGAAAACAACAACGTTATGTTAGGAAAACAAACAAATGATCAGTCAGGAAAACATAATAAATCATGTTGCAAACATTAGTATAGGTATATATTTAAAAAAGAAAATAAGAAAATGAATAAGGTGTGGTTTTATTTCTTGAGATCACAGTGTTAAAACAACAGAATTATGTCCTCCCACACAGGTATAGAGGTACAGGCACACACACACTCAACTAGCAAGAAGGCAGGTGAGGTACCTGCATGAAGGGCAGCATGTTCCCCCTGCTGCTGTGAGACTGCTTAATTCATCCTCACTTCACCATGTAAAATAGTTTTGTAAGCAGTGAGGCAATAAGGAAGCAGGAGTTGTAGTTTTAATTACCGCAAAAACTATAGACCTATAAAAGAGGTCAGTAAAATATATCTATACTCAAACCAGCGATTAAACAAAGTGTTAACAAACTGGCCTGAGACAATGAAACACAAGGGGTACACAAGAATGACGCCAATAACAACTAAACTAAAAACTAACTAAACCCCAGGAGCTGGCTTCAGGATTTAAATGACAACTCAAAGACAAAGAAGCAGATGATTCATGTAACAGCTTATATGTACCCCTCCTCTCTATAAAGGTTCGTTCAGACAGTCGTTAGTATGATGGGAAGTATCACAACCAACACACAAACACAAATGATGAGGACAATCAAAAGAGGATGCTTCTTGATCTTGGTCCAACACTTGCAGGGTTGTGGCGAATTCTCATCTGTTGGGAGAGTAAGACGAAACTCTTCTTTGACACTCAAAACCTTTTCACGGTTCGTATTGCTCTTTTGTCTGTTTTCTTTGCTCTCCTCTCTCATTTTTTTTTCTTCCAGAGGATGTTCTTTAACCTTGTCTCTCAGACTCCCTGAATCTTTAAATAAAAAAGTAATATATTGATAAATGACGTGTTAATATTGCCTGAATGATTTCTTGGTGTACTTTTGTGATCTTACCTCTGTAGACGAGCAGATAGGCAGCCCTGGATCTGTTGAACAGTCATTTTAAATGTATTGTTTGCATAGAACAACTAAATCTGACCATACAGAAAACATTTCCAGATACATATTAGAATATATCTCAGAGTTAAGATTAAATGTTCATTCTTGACCGAGGAATCAGTAGCTGCTGCTAACTGCTCTGAAGCTTTCGATCATATCACCTAATCTTTTCAGCATCTTTAAGAACTTCTAGTTCATGTCGGCTTAAAGCAGAGTCCTTAAAATGCTCCATAAAAGGGGAAATTAAGCTTCTATTATCCCACAAAAACTGGGCAAACTCTTTTTGCTGTTGAAGATTGTTGGACATGATTGAAAGCTCGGATGCAGCTATTAAATGGACCTCGTGCTAACTAATGTCCGACTCAATAAAATGGAAACCAAACGTACTTGTAGGTCCTGGTATTTGCAAATGGTTGGTCCTCAACCTGCATTATTCAACAAAAACAACATTTAACAAATGTTTATTTAGTATTTAAATATTTTGTAGGTTTTGAATATGTGCCATACATATCATGAGTTAAATTAATCCTCACCTTCCTGACATGAGAATCATCAAATTCATACCAGGTTTCGTCCTCATTGGACAGGATAGTGGCTGTGTAATGTCCACCTCTTAGACTGCCCACGTGGTTCACCATCCCATACAGTTTGTACGTTTGATTCTATGATGAAGAACACAGTCAGGTATGAAAAGAATTTTAAAAAGCAAATAATGAACACCATTCAGAGTTCCTTCCCCTCACCTTTGTCTGTAATACAAGTGGCACATCCACACAGCAGTCTGATTTGACATCTGACATGGTGTTGAAGTCAAAGTAAAATCTCTTGAGGAGTAGAGTCAAAATCCGAGGAAATTCCACCATCTCACATCCCTAAATAACACGAGAAAGATTATTAAACACTTCATTTGATTCCAGGATTTCAGGCTGCAGTTGATGTTTGAAAACTCACGCTGGTCGCCTTTGCTTTCTTGTTACAGTCGTTGCAGTACACCAAGTTGTCTCCTTTGAGTGATTTAGTCTGGAAGGTCTCTTCGAAGCCCTTTTCCTGGAAAAAAACTAAAATATTGTAATAAATTCCAAATTGGATCAAATTGGTGTTTGTGGTCTCTCCTCACATGTGGGTCCTGCACACTGTTTCCTGGCATGAAGGACGTATCTAACAGTTATCAATCTAGTTTCCTTCCTACTGTATGAATTCACTGGTATAAGGCACCACTTATCAAGGGTTTATATTATATTTTATTATATCAACAGTAGTCAAACTGTTTGTATAACTTAATAGATGGTTATAATAAGTCTACAGTTGTAAGGTTGATAGTTTAATATTTTAACGTGAATGCTTCATTGAAATATTAAAGTAAAACTTTATGCTCACCACACTGTAGGTTGTATCATGTTTATCTTTCATTGACAGTGGAAGAGTCCAGAATGGATTTGTCTCTTCATTGACGATGTGACCTTCAGAGCATTTTGTTGTGTCCGCCAGCCATCCTTGGAAAACCTTGAGATAGAAATATTCTTCTTAACACAGTTGATTTCTGATTTGGTGACGGTAGACTCCAGTGTGGGTTTGATAAGTGCTTACCTCAGAGGCCTGTTTGCTGACCTTACGTAAAATCATCTCCAGGCACTCGGCAGCATCCTGTTGTTGATGAACTGCAGAATGATTTGTGAGATTTAATCCAGCACACTAAATCCACTAAAGCCTTTCGGTAAACCTGCAGCTGCTGTTTTTCTACTGATCACAGGTCAACTTACCATTTTTGATCTCCAAACTCTGTTCGATGTTTTCTGTTCCACATGTTGTTCTTTCCAATTTTTTAAACAGGTACATCAGCTCTTTATCTGTATTCAGTGAGTCAGGAAGCAACCTTAAGAGACAGGATAGTTTATTGTTTATTATTTAGTTTATCATCTTCTCTTTTTTGTTTGTTTAGAAATTGAGTCTCAATTAAGTCTTGCTCAAGTTCTTGACTAAAAACCAAAAATTATGACCATTTTGATTTCATTTCTCCTCATTACTAAACAGCGTTATCTACTGGACACACTCAGATGCATCACTGTATAAAATGTTCTCTGTTAATACTTGACATATACTCATATTAACTACAGATGAAGCAGCTGTTTCAAACCTGTCGTGGATCTCTGGAGTCATGGAGAGAACTTGCAGAACACTGTTGAGGTAACATGTGGCTCCCTGGTTATACAGACCATAATGAACTCTCTGTCGCTGAGTCACTTAAAGGAAAGAAAAAGCACAGTGTAATTACACCATCTCAGATGATTCAGAGTGTGAAGAATGTAGAAAAGATACAGAGAAATATAAGACCTCATCTACCAATATTATACAACTAAACAAACAAAACAAACTAAATTGGCCTCCAGTGACTTATAGCTACCTTTTTGTTTCTTCTCCTGTGCTGTGCTCCTGTGTTTCACCTCCTCCTCCAGGGATCGTTTCCTGGAGCTGCTCATCTTTCCTCTTGAATCTCCCCCTGAAGATCAAATATTGTAATTATATCTTCTTGTATTCATTCAACAATTCAATTCACTTCAGTCTGTCTGTGCCTCCAGTGGAAGCATTTTGCAGGTTTTATATCATTAGTTGTGTTTCTGACACATCAACAGTGTATTTATGCTACAATATCAACCATTTAAAAAAACAACAACACATTGCTTTCAAAGACTGTAGCTGGTTTTCACTCATTGTAACTTTTTAGTGTTCTTCCTCATCTCCTGCAGCTTGATGACTATTTCTTCCAAATGATCCGCCCTCTTTACCCTCACATAACATTTTACTCTCTCCTACATTTCTTTCTCGTGGCTACAACAATCTCACTGCAATTCACAACCACATCAAATCTCTACTAGTACGCAGTCTAGTCCAACAGGTGGCGCTGTTCATCCGCTTGTTATATATATATGTATATATATATATATATACATATATATATATAACTTTTATATATGTTATATTAACCCTCCAAACAAACAGTTTTCAACAACAAATTCACAAACAACAAAATGATCTTTCCCAGTAAGAACTAATTTGTCTCATATGTTGTTTTAGTTTAACTTGAGATTTGTTTGAATCTTATCACTGCTTTGCTCCTTTTACATCTCAGACCTGTTATGAGTTTAATCGCTTGAGATCATCTTGAAAAATTCATAAAGTTTCATCACTTAGTTGTTCTTTTCTCTGTGTGGCTGTTAACTTATCTGTAGCATTTGCTGGCTGAACTTCTCCACATCAGTCCCAAAATATTGAAAATAATGTCGCAAAAGGAAAATATCTCAGAAGTTACTGTCACTGAATGCTGTTCAGAGAAAGTCTGCAACAGACATTAATGCGACGGGAGGTGAAACCATACTGTCAGTGGGGTGAAACACAGATCGATGACTCGGCAAAACAACTAAAGCCTATAATTAATGTGCAATGCGCACAATGGCACTTGGTACAATATTCACAATTTTTTCTATAAATACAATAAATATATGCACATATTCAAAATAAACTGATGCTTGGAATAACTTTAAAACACCCGGACTGAGCAGACTTTTGTTGTAAACCAAGATGATATAAAAATCTATAGCTTACTTCTGGCCATTGCATAACGAAGTCAGTAATGTTTATGTTATGTATGTTAATGTATCTTAAACTAAAGTATTGTCAATAAACTAATAAGGAAAATGAAGGTGGAACCCCGGCAGCTGCACGATAACATTCACACTTAAATTTAGCAACTAAAGAAAACGTCTTGTAATTTTGATAAAGGAGAAAATAAATATTTTGTATTTACCCTGATAAGTTTTTCCTTGGATTTTTGCAGAGGAGACAACGTTCACATCTTCTCTCACTATCTGGCATCAGCACACAAAGCGCACAGTGAACCAAAGGACTCAGTTCTAATACACAATAGGAGCCTCTCTGTGTGATAACTTTCAGAATATGTGCAGGTATAAGAATGAGGTTATGCTACATGCTTGTTTTCCACCACCAGAATGCAGAACAATTACATTCTTAATGTGTCTCCCAATCACTTGAAGTAAATTAAAACTACATCCTTGTTGTTGTTGTTGTTTTGATACCTGAAACTAATCCAGTGTAAGGGCAGTATCTGTTGTTTAAAACACTTATTGTTTCAGTTCAGTGTTTTTCACGTAAACACATCATATTATTAGAGATTGTTTCGGTCATACAGAAGGATTGGCCTATGATTGGTACCTATTTGTAGCAGATAGCAACAATAATTAATAAATTAGGGTGTTTCATCTGTGCAGGGAAAATCCTCATCCTGCTTACAACGCCTATACCGGTAAAAGCTACCTGTGATAATCATCATTGAGTGACACACCCAGTTATAATGACAGCACTGACCTGGTGGCTGAAGGAAGAGTAGAAGGAAAATACAAAGAACAGCCTGATAATGAAGCACGTGTTCCCCTTATTATGTCCAAGGAATTAACTGGTAGGATAAAAAAAATCCCCAAATTTCCCTCAGAGCAAACAGGTTTACAGTCGTTTAGGTTTGACAGACTCTCTCTGCAATTTTATTCAGCAAACTCAACGAAAAGAAAGAAATTATTATTATTAAACGTATATGTATAATATTATTATACATTATAATTTATATTTAGCGTATTGATATTTTCACATTATATTTTTAAACCAAACCACAATTTAGTATGCTGATTGTTTTATTAAATGTAGTAAAGGTAAGTAACTGTTTTCAGAAATGTAGTGTGGGAAGGCCTTTTTTTAAACCAGTGTGTCTGTGGCCTGGATATTTGGTTTAAAATGAGAAAATAATATGTGCTTTAATTAGATTAAACAACCATATTTAGTTTTCTCTCCTGTCTTGAAACCATAAGAACAAGTTTTGGGAAGTTACATAAAAATAAAATGGTTTACAGTCTGTGATCTTTTCTTCTGCGTCTGGTCCACATCAGATGCCTCCAGGCAGCATCAGCAGTGTGTGGATAGTGGACAAGTGTTTAATCCCATAGGACAACAACAGGGATGATTCCTGCAGCTGCTCGGTCCTGAAGACCATCCGGATGTCTTCCCCTGAGGAGAATAAAGAGGCTGAGACTTCAGGAGATATCGTCAAAGTTATGTTCAAGATGATCAGGAGAAAAATAATAATGACTTTTTCCTAATTTGTTTAGACGTGTGTTGAGTTATTTTTTAATACAATTACATTCTTAATGTGTCTCCCAATCACTTGCAGTAAATCATAACTACATCCTTGTTGCTGTTGTTTTGATACCTGAAACTAATCCAGTGTAAGTGCAGTATCTGTTGTTTAAAACACTTATTGTTTCAGTTCAGTGTTTTTCACGGAAAAACATCATATTATTAGAGATTGTTTCGGTCATACAAAAGGATTGGCCTATGATTGGTACCTATTTGTAGCAGATAGCAACAAGAATTAATAAATTAGGGTGTTTCATCTGTGCAGGGAAAATCCTCATCCTGCTTACAACGCCTATACCGGTAAAAGCTACCTGTGATAATCATCATTGAGTGACACACCCAGTTATAATGACAGCACTGACCTGGTGGCTGAAGGAAGAGTAGAAAGAAAATACAAAGAACAGCCTGATAATGAAGCACGTGTTCCCCTTATTATGTCCAAGGAATTAACTGGTAGGATAAAAAAAATCCCCAAATTTCCCTCAGAGCAAACAGATTTACAGTCGTTTAGGTTTGACAGACTCTCTCTGCAATTTTATTCAGCAAACTCAATGAAAAGAAAGAAATTATTATTATTAAACGTATATGTATAATATTATTATACATTATAATTTATATTTAGCGTATTGATATTTTCACATTATATTTTTAAACCAAACCACAATTTAGTATGCTGATTGTTTTATTAAATGTAGTAAAGGTGAGTAACTGTTTTCAGAAATGTAGTGTGGGAAGGCCTTTTTTTAAACCAGTGTGTCTGTGGCCTGGATATTTGGTTTAAAATGAGAAAATAATATGTGCTTTAATTAGATTAAACAACCATATTTAGTTTTCTCTCCTGTCTTGAAACCATAAGAACAAGTTTTGGGAAGTTACATAAAAATAAAATGGTTTACAGTCTGTGATCTTTTCTTCTGCGTCTGGTCCACATCAGATGCCTCCAGGCAGCATCAGCAGTGTGTGGATAGTGGACAAGTGTTTAATCCCATAGGACAACAACAGGGATTATTCCTGCAGCTGCTCGGTCCTGAAGACCATCCGGATGTCTTCCCCTGAGGAGAATAAAGAGGCTGAGACTTCAGGAGATATCGTCAAAGTTATGTTCAAGATGATCAGGAGCAAAATAATAATGACTTTTTCCTAATTTGTTTAGACGTGTGTTGAGTTATTTTTTAATACAATTACATTCTTAATGTGTCTCCCAATCACTTGCAGTAAATCATAACTACATCCTTGTTGCTGTTGTTTTGATACCTGAAACTAATCCAGTGTAAGTGCAGTATCTGTTGTTAAAAACACTTTTGGTTTCAGTTCAGTGTTTTTCACGGAAACACATCATATTATTAGAGATTGTTTCGGTCATACAGAAGGATTGGCCTATGATTGGTACCTATTTATAGCAGATAGCTACAATAATTAATAAATTAGGGTGTTTCATCTCTGCAGGGAAAACCCTCATCCTGCTTACAACGCCTATACCGGTAAAAGCTACCTGTGATAATCATCATTGAGTGACACACCCAGTTATAATGAAAGCACTGACCTGGTGGCTGAAGGAAGAGTAGAAGGAAGATACAACAAACAGCTGCTGATGAAGCACAAGTTCCCCTTATTATGTCCAAGGAATTAACTGGTAGGATAAAAAAAAATCCCCAAATTTTCCTCAGACCAGGTTTACAGTCGTTTAGGTTTGACAGACTCTCTCTGCAATTTTATTCAGCAAACTCAATGAAAAGAAATAAATTATTATTATTAAACATTTATGTATAATATTATTATACATTGTAATTTATGATATTTAGCGTATTGATCTTTCCACGTTATATTTTTAAACCAAACCACATTTAGTATGCTGATTGTTTTAATAATGTAGTAAATAAGTAATTGTCTTCAGAAATGTACTGTGGGAAGGCCTTTTTTTTAAAACCAGTGTGTCTGTGGCCTGGATATTTGGTTTAAAATGAAAAAATAATATGTGCTTTAATTAGATTACACAACCATATTTAGTTTTCTCTCCTGTCTTGAACCATAAGAACAAGTTTTGGGAAGTTACATAAAAAACAAAGCGAGCTGCAGTCTGCTGAACTGCTTCTGCTTCAGTCCTTCCCTCAGTTTACTGTCTCTCTGGTAGCAGTGGCGGACTCATAACTAAATAAAAAGGGCAACAGCTGCATGAGGTGGGGACCCAGTGCACAAAGTCCTGATGCATTTAGGTTAAAACAGCCCAAACCCTGCAGAGCGCACTATCATGTTTTATCTGAAGGCCTAACAAGAACAAAAGAGGTCATTCATGAGTTTAATACATTTTATTTGTTTTTACAAATGTTTGTTTGATGCATAATATATTATTAGTCTAGTTGAGGTGGTTTACAGTCTGTGATCTTTTCTTCTGCGTCTGGTCCACATCAGATGCCTCCAGGCAGCATCAGCAGTGTGTGGATGGTGGACAAGTGTTTAATCCCATAGGACAACAGCAGGGATGATTCCTGCAGCTGCTCGGTCCTGAAGACCATCCGGATGTCTTCCCCTGAGGAGAATAAAGATGCTGAGACTTCAGGAGATATCGCGTCAAAGCAAAGTTATGTTCAAGATGATCAGGAGCAAAATCATAATGACTTTTTCTTCATAAACACACAATCTTCTCAGTCCTTAATTTAATCAATGAGGGCTCTCTGACTAAAGTTTAAAAGGGACTTTAATCTTTGGCTGTGGCACAGCTGGTTGGCTGTGTTAAGTTAAAATCCTTTAGCATTATTAGTTATAACATTATATTTGTAGGCTTAGCAGTAAAAAATGTGATTATTTTTACAGGATTATGATTTTAAAATACAATACAATTTATCTGCATACTTGGTGTTGAGGTAATCCAAAAGCAGCGAGAAAGTAATCGAGTTACTTTAATTTGAATATTGTGCTACTTGGATTAGTTACTGACTACGTTTTTTTGTTTTTACCAGGTAATGAGTAACTGTATCAGATTACATTTTTAAAGCAACCGTTCAATTTCAGTTCATTTTAATGATAAAAAGTATATTTTACATATGAACTATACATATTAAAGAAGAGTAAACGTACCTATCACGAGTTCTTTAGTAATTTTCTCCTTCAGTTGCATTACAGTGAACCTCTTCAGCTGCTCTTCACTGTCGCACAGATCGATGACCTTCTCCTCTCCTCTGGGTCCATTTACCTTCACCTGGATTTTCATTTTACCTGCAGTGACTGAGTGGAGTCCTCAGGTGTGTTTGTTCAGCTCAAAATGACCCTGAAGTAAACTGACATCACATTTTGTACAGAAATAAAATAAAGAAAAAAAGATTTACGTCACCTTGGGAAACTTCAAATCACGTGACTTTACGGGAAAGACGAATAGGCCAATCCTACCTGATAGAAACCTTAAAGACCGGTCAGATCAGTCATTGTTTCATTGGTGAGAGAGTGAATATGGGGAGCAAACTGTCCACCAAACGCAAGAGGAGACATCAGAGTGAGTCTGAAAGGCGCAGAGTGTCGGCTCATGGAGAGGGCTTCAAAGGACTGAGGGGCAGATTCGTGGATGAAGAAGATGAGTGCAGCTCTGAGGAAGAAAGCAGCAGCTCGAGAACCGTACAGGAGAAATGTTACGATCCTCTAGACCCCACGTTTACATTTGTAGACGAAGAGGATGATTTAGATTGTAAGTAGAGAGTTAATTACTGTCAGGTTGTTCATTATAGGGTGATTGTTGTTATTGTGTTCACATAACCATTAAATGAAACACCTTCCTTTACAGTGATGAAGAGCTTTACAGCTTCTGTTGGTGTGGGAATCATTTTAAAGTAGCTACTAACTTAGTTTAGCAAGTTTATCTGATCACATAGACCTTGTTTAAGAAACATTATATTTGTTTAGTTATATTAGTTTATAAAGATGATTTCTCATTCAGTCATTTTAATACACAATTACACATTTTATTTTTTGTGAGGATTAAAGCTGCAGTAGGTAATTGTTTATAAAAATAAGCACTAATACTGACAGTAGTACATGAGACAGATAATCTGTAACTAGAGCAGGTTCCTCTGGCTCCTCCTGGTGCTCCTAATGGTACAACAACAACCAATCAGAGCCAAGAAAGACAGTTGATTGAGTCTCACTCCCTGGGTTAAATACAGAGGCTTTGGGAACCTGGGAATGAGACAATCAACTATATTTCTCACTGATTCTTGAGGGGAAGAAAGTACCAGTGCCTTAGTTTATCAGATGCCGTTATAATTAATGCTTGCATTGGCTTTACGTTATATTGTGTATTAAATCTTAACTGTCTGAAATGGCCAGTTGTCCCAATCCAAGAAAACTCTTCTCTTGTTTGTGTGTCTCACAGTTCTGTGTAATGAGTACCTGGGTCCCCGAGCAAAGATGTCCTGTGGTCATGCTGTCACTCCGATGTCTCTCACCGACTGGTGTTGCTGGTTGTTGGACCAGGTATGTTGTTTAAATATCACCTTCAGCATGAAACTCAGAGACTTTTTAGTGACTAAACTTCACTGACAAAATGCACAACAGGAACAAGTGTAACAATATAATATTTCTATAGTGAACAGAAGAGAGAATGTAACTTCAGCTGATGTGAATCATATTAGCAGTAGCAGGTTGATTGTTGCTGATTTGCTCAATATGTTTGCAGTCTTTTCTTTGATTTTCTCTTTAATATCTAAGGGTGAGTGCAGATTTGTGTGTGGACAGACTGACTGTGATGTTGAGTGGCCCTTTGAGGAGGTTTGTAAAATGGCTCTTCTAAGCCCTGAAGAACTGGAGTACTTTGAGAAGAAAATATTCAATAATGCTGCCAAGGATTACTTGGACGTCAAAGAAGTAAGTATCACTCTATTTACAAAAGACTTTTCAGCCATTGATATCTATATATGATTTTACAGAATTGCCTACCCCTTACAAATCTCAATGCACTTGCAAATCTGAATAAAGACTTGAGATTTTTGATGCAGGTTTCCGTTCACATTCATAAATCTCAGTACGCATTTAGAGATTCTTTTTGCAAATCGCACAGACGGATTATGATAACATTTGTAAAATTGTAAATAGCTTTGCTACAATAATGGCCCTGTATGTCTCATTATGTTTTCAACTTCACTTCACAGTGTCCTGGTTGCAAGTCTCGTGTGGTGAGAACTGATCTCAGTGATCTGAGTGTCAAATGCTCAGTGTGCACAGCTAACAGGAGAAGGTCTTATATATTCTGCTGGCAGTGTTTGAAGAAATGGAAAGGTCCGGCTCCACGTTCAGACCGCTGTGGAAACGATGACTGTCAAAACCCACTGGAAATACTGAAGACCTGTCCTGATATTGTCTTTGAAGATGTGGAGGGTGTCACTGGCTGTCCCTCCATCCGTGCCTGTCCCACCTGTGGTTTGCTGCTTGAGCATAACAAGACTCAATGTAAAAACATTGTCTGTCGCCGGTGTAAGGTGGAGTTCTGTTTTGTGTGCCTGAAGACCACTGAAGAGTGTCAGGAGCTCACTGATGAGTACGAGGAACTCACTGAAGAGAGTGAGGAGTTCACTGATGAGTGCGAGGAACTCACTGATGAGAGTGATGAGGAAGATGTATCCTCATATTATGGACTTTGCTCCACTGGTGTAGCACCTAGACAGACCTCGATACCTGTGTGGCAGAGGACATAATTCTGTTGATTTAAAACTGTGAAATACAAATACTAATCATTAACCACAATTGTTATCAGTCAGACAGGAACTCAGGCCCACACCAGCTTTCAATAACAGTTAAAAGCATATAAGTTGTTTTTTTTTGTATTTCAGACAATGTTACGTCACATCAGAGAATCATTTACACAGACAGTTTTTACTTCAAACTCAAAATTGTAATATGTATTTATTGTAATGTTTGAAACTGTTTATACTGTTTTTGTAAGAATCATTTTGCTGGATTTTACTTTAAATTCTTTAATATTATCTTATTGTTGCAGCATGAAGTCATTTGGATCTTTAATATCTTTATTCAGTCTTTATTTTCACATTTGTTTCATCAGCTTCATTATCAAGTTTTTTTTTACTAATCATTTGTTTATTTAGCTAACATAACGTGGTTGTTTTTCATCTAAAATAAATAATTAAATATAAACTATCGGGTTGAATAACTTTTTATATTTTATATAATGTATATTTCAGCAGTAATGCTCTGTGGCTACAGGGAGGTCTGCGAGCTATTCTGGGCCAAAGTATCACAAGAAACAGTTTATTTCCTGTTATAGTAATAACTCTTTTTTTTATGTCAGCACTGAGCGTGGGTTCAGAAATGACAACCAGCAACTCTCCATCAAGGAGATAATGAAAAGATAATAGACTGCCCATTTCTGCATTATTACATATTGTTATAAAGAAATAATATAAATATAAATAAGCCATATTTCAGGGCTTTAACATCATTCTGAATGTGTTAGTGAAGATAGTTGTGTTTAAACCACAAGATGGCACCATTGTCTGTGAGTTGGAAGGTGTGACAAATGACTGTGGAGCTTCAACAGCAACTTACAAGTGATTCTCCACGTCCTGCAGCTGGTGATTTTTAATGGTTTCAATAAAGCATGCATTGGCCAGGAATTGAACCTGGGTCAACTGCTTGGGAAGTAGCTATGCTCACCACTATACCACCAACGCCTTGAGAGGACCTTGATCTCCATGACCCCAACATGTGGTCTCACAACTGTCATTGTGGTCAGTTTCAGTGATACATAGTCCAGGTTTCAGTGAGATTAAAGACAGTTTTGTCCATAATATATTTATTCAGAATACAGCTTTTCTATCTATAGTTTCAGTGTAAACCAATAGAGTTGTTGCTGTACATACTTTACATACATTTTAAGGTATTATTGTACATCTATAATCAGTGGTGCTGCAAATAACTAAACCGTCTCTTCTCCATATTTACAATGTATCTGATGAAAACTATCTCAGTACATTTACTCTGGTTCTGCATAATTTATAGCAACTATTTCCATTTTCTGCTGTTCTACTTCTACTTTAATACATTTCACTCCATTGATGGTATAAATGGTATTTGGTTTGCTACTTTTCAGATCAGTCTATAAAATATGATGCATTGTTATAGATTAAACCGCCCATCAATCCTAGTGCAGGACTTTTACTTGCAATGTATTTTTATAGATAGATAGATAGATTGATGGATAGATAGATATATACCTTATTGATTGCCCAAGGGGAAATTCACAACCACAAATCTGCTGGCCTGATCAGGGGCTCATTCGCCATCTCCTCCACCTCCCTCTGTCTCCAATATCATTATTGTGTGATATTTCTACTTTTTCTTTGTATCTGAATACTGATTCCATCGCTATAATTGTATTGTTCTCATTGTTATTACTGTGAATTCAACACTATATCACAATTAATGTGACAATGACATGCTGAAGTTAGACGGAACTACTTACAGTGTGTTTTATAAGTGCTGCTAAAAAAGAAATAATTTATTCAAACCAATAATATATATTTATTTATCTTTATTTCAAAGACAAAGCAACAATGCTTCAATTCATGTTAGGAAAACAAACAAATGATTAGTAAAAAAAAAAAAAAAAAAACAATGATACACAATACAAAAAATATCTTTACTGTTATTTAAAACTGGTGTGGAAAGAAGATAAAGGAAGAAGGTGCAGTTGTTTTTTTGAGATCACACGGTTAAATCATCATCATCAATTATTTCCTCTTCCACACAGGGATAGAGGTCTGTCTGGGTGCTACACCAGTGGAGCAAGGTTTGAAATGTGAGGATGGATTTAGCTTCAGGCACTCAGTTGTGAGCTTCAGGCACACAAAACAGAACATCCCCTTACAGCGGCGACAGACAATGTTTTTACATCGAGTCTTGTTATGCTCGAGCAGCAAACCACAGGTGGGACAGGCACGGATGGAGGGACAGCCAGTGACACCCTCCACATTCTCAAAGACAATGTCTGGAGAGTTTTTCAGTGTTTCTAGTTGCTGATTAATGCAGCCAACGTTTTCACAGCGGTCTGAACGTGGAGCCGGACCTTTCCATTCCTTTGAACACTGCCAGCAGAATCTATAAGACCTTTTTTTGTTAGCTGTGCACACTGAGCATTCAACACTCAGATTACTGGGATCATTTCTCACCACAGAGGACTTGCAACCAGGACACTGTGAAGTGAAGTTATAAGAAAAACATAATGAGATGTTGTTTATTTCAGAGAACCGTTATTAAATAGTGTAATATTGGTACTTACAAGTTTCAAGTCATGAGCATTGTTGAACATCTTCTGTTCAAAGTGCTTCTTTTCTTCAGGGCTTAGAAGAGCCATTTTACAAACCTCCTCAAAGGGCCACTCAACATCACAGCGAGGTTGGCCACACACAAATCTGCACTCACCCTTAGATATTAAAGAGAAAATCAAAGAAAAAGAGTGAATACAATTATTCAGCCTGCAACTGCTGATATGGTTCACTGCTATTCACTGGTGGCTTCTAGAGCAGAGGATCCCAACCTTTTTCCTTAATGGACCCCTTTTCTGTCATTTAGTAAACTGATGGTCCCTGCTTAAGTGAAATATTTTATAAATATTTTATATTCAAAACTGTGCAATTAAACTCAAATAGTGACTCAGTAAGTCAGTAAGTAAGACGTTTGTCTAAAACAAGTGATTTGGAGAAATTTTGAGCAGATTATTTCCTGTTTAGGGAACTTTTTATACAGTTCTCTGTCAGTGTTGTGTGTTTTAATAATAATTTTTAACAATCATAAAAACTTTTACATTTCTTTACAGAAGTGAACCTTCTGTTTATATTTTTAAAGTTTTCTTACACCCCACGATCCCCCATAAAGCTTTGACGACCCCTAGTGGGGGTCCGGACCACAGGTTGGGAAACATTGTCCTACGGTGCCTTTTCAGTGGAGAAAACATGATGAAGTGCCCTCTATGGTGCTAATCCTAACCCTGACTAAGCTGTTTCACCATAAATGCGTCACAACAGCCAGAAAGTCGACCAACATCAGAAAAAATAAAATTTTCATGTAACTAAACTCACTGATAAATTAAACTGGTCACTTTCTGTTATACCATGTATAAATACAATCTAAACCCTTTAGCACTATACAAGCTGCCACTATGCACATTGTCAGTGAAGTTTAGTCACTAAAACAGATTTTATATTGCATTATGATGTAAACAGCCTACCTTGTCCAACAACCTGCGACACCAGTCGGTGAGAGACATCGGAGTGACAGCATGACCACAGGACATCTTTGCTCTCAGAGACTTGTAGCCAATACACAGAACTGTGAGGCACACATAAACAAGGAGAGCTATAGTACTTAAAAGTAGCAGGTAAACACATAGATAGCAGAAGCTAATGTTTGCTTGGTGATCATATGACATTCATAAGTGAGGGATAACAAGCCTCCGCGTCGTCCATTAATTCCAGATTATGGACACCTCGTCGGGCATTATCTCATTTATACCATGGTCACTTGCCAAAGAAAAGAAATTAAGACCATTAATTTATATTTTCATGCGTTTTAAGATAAGATAATGTGACATTTGACTACTTACAGTCTAAATCATCCTCTCCATTGATAAATGTAAGTGTTTTGTCTTGAGGGTCGTAACACTTCTCCCGTTCAGTTGTCATGTTGCTGCTCATCTTGACCAAATGTAGAATGTAGGTTACTTATTCAAATAAAACACCAGCTTTATGGGACGGGGGCTTCCTTTCCTTTCGCTTTTCATTTCTACTCCTTTCACTTTTTAATTTCCAAGAAGTCATGTGATTTGGTTTTTGACGCATTTTTTTAAAAAAACATCTGATATCACATAGCCTATTTATCTGCCAAACGTTTCACTTTCTGGACAGACAGATCTGAAGAACTCACTGAACGAGCTCCAAAATGCCTTTCCAACTCTGCGTTAATACACCCACTGGAGAAGAAAAGATTGTCGATGTGTGCGACAATAAAGATCAGCTGAAGAACATCACTGGAGAGCAATTTAAAGAGAATCTTCGTAAAGAACTGGGGATAAGTATGTTTACTCTTTTATTTACATCCTTAAGGAGACTGTTTTTGTCCCATTTGTCTGTTTGGACTAAAGTTTAAAATAGCCTAAAGTTAACTGTCTGTGAGAAGGCTATTGGGATTTCACACTCTCTTAAATTTTTGGGTTTAATGCTGCTTCTTTTTAACACTCTGTCAGTCTTGTAACTGTTGTAAATGGACCACATGTCTAAAATTAACCCTTTAGTTCAGCCATCTTTTCATCTAACAAAATCAAAAACAAACTGTAGAAATGTAGCCGAGGTTACTGTGTAAGATAATAAACATTTTATACCTATTTATTTCCGCTTTAAGATGAAGACTTTCGTATTATTGTCAACGCCAAGCAGGTGGAGGAAGAGGCCACTCTGGACTCCACTGGGATCAACCATTTGTCCACAGTTTATACAGTACCGAAACTGTCCGGAGGCACATCTGATGAAGAATAAACCCCACAGGGTCTCAAGAAAGCCATGAACCATGTATGAACAAATCAATTTTTCATTTTTAAAGTCATTAAGTTTCATATTTCTTTGCATTGTGACTACAAGCTACTGTGTTGTCAAGCCAATATCAAATCTTCTGTTAAGAAAATTGATACGGTGCCACAAATCTGTATTCCGTTTCTTTTATGTAAATGTGTCATCTTCATATAAACTGACTGAAAACAATGTGGTGTGTGATAATAACATGTTAATAAATTCTACTTGTCTCACTTGGCGTCTTCATATTGTTCCTCACAGCTAATAATGAAACTTTAATGATAACAAAAAATATGACAATGGGTGAAAAGTAGTGAGGTATGAGCATATGCAAAAGGAAGCTAAAGCAATGCAATTTAAAAGTAAGGATTAAAGAACAACAACAAGAGACTATCAGGGAGGCACAGGCTTCAGTCACACAGAGACACTGAGTCACTTAACAGCTGATGAATGTGAAATCAATAGAAAGAGTGGGCAGTATAAGGACATTGATTAAACTTATTTATCTTTTCAAAACAGGCAACACAGATTCAGACATAGAGAGAGAATAAATCTACATAAAACTAATATTATTACATTTAATAAACAGTATATATAGTCCTCAACGTCACTTCTTTAAGTGCATTGGCAGATAAAGCTCAAGCAAAGTCAGATTCATTCACACCCACACAGAGTATACTGAGAGCAACAGATACATAGAATGAAACAAATGAGGGAATTATATTGGTCTAATTTTGCTTTTGTGTTTTGACACCAATAAATGGGAAATAATAATGTGGAATTGTGGGAAATAAATCACAATTTATTTAAACCCCCCAACAGAGTCATTATAGTTTTGTATTTTTCATTACTTTTTATTTTGTTTCAGTTTAGTTTCAGTGAGTTTTAGTTGAGTTTTTATTGTTTTCAGTGTTCGTTATAATATAGGGGGTAAATGTCAGTGGCAAGATTTAAAGAGTTCAGAATATTACTTGAAGAAAAGAAAGGGAAAAAATGGACTCAGGTGAGTTATATAACAACTTACAGATACCATAAACAGAGTATTTAGCTATTAGATACCAAAACTGTTGTTGAAACTTAAAATGCCCAACAACCCTCATTTGAGATTAAACTTTATAAAACATTGCAGTTGCTGCTGGCAAGATACACAAATAATGACATTTAGCTTTTCAGTACACAGTGATACACTTACTGACTGAAATAACAGAAAAGAATACAAAGGAAAACTAAAGAAAACCCCTAACAATAGACTTTTGAGGTCTATTTAAAAATTGTTTTTTAAGATGATCAAATCATAGGACCAATCAAACTTATTGGTGGAGCCTTTTTTATTGTCAGTCCAGGTAACCACTCTATATCTCATAGACAGGCTCGGAGTAAAAGGAGTCATATTTTATAATCTTGTATTTCCATGTGAATATGTTGATTGATGTTGCTGTGGTACAGGCGCATGAGGTTGCTTTCAGTTTGCACCTGGATAGAGATTAACGGAGACTTTCACTTCTAAACTGTTTAATGTATATTGTATTGTATAAAGAGTTCAGAATATTACAAAACACTTTATGAAAAAAAATGACTCAGGTGAATTATATAACAACTTACATATGTCATAAACAGAGTATTTAGCTATTAGATACCGAAAGTGTTTGTGTACCAGGCTGTAAACATGTTTATTTCTGCTGTAAAGTTGAGCATCTTTCGGAGATCACTCACTACATCTGCCAGCCCCAAGAGGCCGGAAGAGGAACTGCAGCTTTTGTTATTTCTGTGTTTTTAGGTGATTACCCACTGAAGAAAACACACCCATGAATATTATATAACATTTCTGCCAATATATCCTCCTAAATGTTACACAAAGGTCAACGAAGTCATGTGATTTTCTGTAGATAAGAGAAAGAAAGTTTAAAGTCCAGTAACTAATAAGGAAACAGAAAGAAAGACATGTTCGGTTTCATGCCTTAAACTTTATAAAACATAAATATAATAATGACATTTAGCTTTCCAGTACACAGTGACACTTACTGTTAGAGGACTGAAATCAAAACAGAAAATAATACAATGGAAAACTAAAGAAAACCCCTATAATAGACTTTTGAGATCTATTTAAAAATTGTTTTTTAAGATGATCAAATCATAGGACCAATCAAACTTATTGGTGGAGCCTTTTTTATTGTCAGTCCAGGTAACCACTCTATATCTCTTAGACAGGCTCGGAGTAAAAGGAGTCATATTTTATAATCTTGTATTTCCATGTGAATATGTTGATTGATGTTGCTGTGGTACAGGCGCATGAGGTTGCTTTCAGTTTGCACCTGGATAGAGATTAACGGAGAGTTTCACTTCTAAACTGTTTAATGTATATTGTATTGAATAAAGAGTTCAGAATATTACAAAACACTTTATGAAAAAAAATGACTCAGGTGAATTATATAACAACTTACATATGTCATAAACAGAGTATTTAGCTATTAGATACCGAAAGTGTTTGTGTACCAGGCTGTAAACATGTTTATTTCTGCTGTAAAGTTGAGCATCTTCTGGAGATCACTCACTACTGCCGCCAGCCCCAAGAGGCCGGAAGAGGAACTGCAGCTTTTGTTATCTCTGTGTTTTTAGGTGATTACCCACTAAAGAAAACACACCCATGAATATTATAATATTATATAATATTTCTGCCAATATATCCTCCTAAATGTTACACAAAGGTCAACGAAGTCATGTGATTTTCTGTAGATAAGAGAAAGAAAGTTTAAAGTCCAGTACTAATAAGGAAACAGAAAGAAAGACATGTTCGGTTTCATGCCTTAAACTTTATAAAACATAAATATAATAATGACATTTAGCTTTCCAGTACACAGTGACACTTACTGTTAGAGGACTGAAATCAAAACAGAAAATAATACAATGGAAAACTAAAGAAAACCCCTATAATAGACTTTTAAGATCAATTTAAAGCATTTTTGTTAAGATGATCAAATCATCCTGAGTTACAGAAAAGGCTGAAAATAGAAACGAAAGTAAGACAGTGTTACACAGCTTACTGCTTTCATTACCCGATGGTGCAGTCCAGGTAAGCACTATATATCTCTAACGTTGGCTTTCACCGCAATACAACCTCATAGACAGGCTCGGAGTAAAAGGAGTCATATTTTATAATCTTGTATTTCCATGTGAATATGTTGATTGATGTTGCTGTGGTACAGGCGCATGAGGTTGCTTTCAGTTTGCATCTGGATAGAGATTAACGGAGGGTTTCACTTCTAAACTTTTTATTGTATGATACTGACTATGTTGTAACTTTTAAAGTTTGTACTGTGAGGCGTTTTAGTTACTCTCTGAATATAGTAACGCTGGCTACTCGCAGCGTTAACTACAACCTTGATAGTTACTGTATTACAACTAGCTTTGGGTCGTGGGTAAAGCAAGAGGATAACTCTATCTGTGATACTTGATCCACTTTAATGTCCGCTTCAACAGTCGGACAACTGAACACTACCTTACATCATATCACTCCGCCAATCAGTGACATTACAGGTAACGAGCACCTTATGTAGTTCCTTATCTACATTGTAGAACAGAATACCGATATGTTTATATATGTAGTTGCCATTAATTAACTTATGAGAATTCAATAAACACAATAAAGTAATCCACAAAATAAATCTCATCTTATAATGACGTTGTATTCAATTGTCTTCCTTTGAAGTTCCGCCTCTAACTTAGAGTCTCGCTGTGCAGCATTATGGGGGATGTATTTTTCCTATGAATGTCAGGTTTGTTGTTACCTGGAAAACAAGCTCAAGAGATATTGTTTATCATTATTACAAGATGCTTTTTTTTTTAATGGACAGTGAACAGAAGCGAGGAGTCATAAAATCTGTATTGAGGATAAAAAAATCACATTGAGAGACAATCATTGACAACATTGTGTGAAATGATAAAAATATGTGTAGGCTAATGAAGGCACTGTATCCGTTTTAGCATCGCACATGAAAACATAAACAAGTTGGAAGAAAGATGGGAGATGAAGAAGATTCTAACCCCAGGAAAAGATGCCGAGATGAGATCACAAAGGCAGACGAGGAGGAACAAACAGGTAACAGAGACGCAGATGTGGCTGAACAAGGTGTTGCAGATGTTTATAAAACAAAATTAACATAAATAAAAGTAAAAGATGACCAACTCTAAAAAGTAGCTTTTTGCTCAATAAGAGTAATTTGACCTTATACATCCATCACAACATACATCTGTAAGATGTTCATCCAAAGTAATGCCAACCTTTCTGAAACAGATTTTAACTGAATGTATTACTGAATAAACACATTTCAACCCACAGCTACTAAGAAGCCCTGTGTGACCACTTCAGAAGGTCTGACAGACGATGCAGCTGAACGACATGAAGCCAGTAACTTGGACAAACTGGGTGAAGAACAACACACCAGGAAGGAAGAAGAAAGTATCAGTGAAGAAGATGAAGCAGAGATGAGAAAAGATCAGGAGAAAGATACACTCAGTCTTCAGGCTAGAGGAGAGGAGGGTGAGACAGAAAGTGTAAAGAAAGACACATTAGTCAGAGAAACGATTAATGACAGAAACATCAACACTGGTGTCAAATGTGCAACACTGAGCAAAGTAAAAACTAGTGGAGATAAAGAAGTACAGGACAATCTGTTCATGAATGAAGACAGTACATGTTCCAGCAGCACAGAAGAAAACACAAATGAGAAGTCTGAAAAGTTGAAGGAAACTAAAGTAGATGATGCTCCTGTAAATGTTGGAGAACAGTTGAATAACTCTAGTGAACAACATCTGGATGAAGAGACAAAGGCAGAGAAGCAGAAACAAACAGGTAATAAGAAGAACATGCATGAATCTGTGTTTCTATGGCAACATACAAAAATGACCTCTTTCTTTGGCTCTATGTGATTTCTTTTGTACATTTAGATACATAATGATATACTACACAAACAATACTAAAGTATCTTTTTACAAGGATATATTAGTTGGGTGTGTATGTTGACATATAGACTTTTTTCAGGGTGTAATTCATGAAAAGACTTTGTTCTTACTGATACTGACTCTGATACAGATGATTACTGAATATTTTACTTTATTTCTACTTCAAATCCACAGAGTGTCAGAAACCTGCTGAAACCAATTCAGAAGATCTGACAGACGAGGTGAAAGAAGAACAGGGTGAAGAAATTGGTCTGGAAGAACAGAAAGGAGAGGAAGTGGAAAACAAAAATGTCATCAAAAAAGACACTGATGATGAAGAAAACACACAGATTGGACATAGTGAAGAAGATGATGGACAGATGAGAAAAGATCAGGAGAAAGATGCACTCAGTCTTCAGGCTAGAGGAGAGGAGGGTGATAAAGAAAGTGTAAATAAAGACACATCAGTCAGAGAAACAATTATTGACAGAAACACAAACAGTGATGAGGACTGTGAAAAACAAAAATTGCTAAACAGTGAAGATGAAGAAGTACAGGAAAATCGAAAAAGCATGGGGTCTACCTTTGATGGAAAAAGTGTGAACCAGTCGTACACCATGAAGAGTTCAGGAGACCACGATGACAGCAGATTTATTTGCCCGGCCGAGGAGAACGAGACACAGTGCATTCTTCAGGTTAGAGAAGAGCAGGGTGAGACAGAAAGTGTAAAGAAAGACACATCAGTCAGAGAAACAATTAATGACAGAAACATCAACACTGGTGTCAAATGTGCAACACTGAGCAAAGTAAAAACTAGTGGAGATAAAGAAGTACAGGACAATCTGTTCATGAATGAAGACAGTACACGTTCCAGCAGCACAGAAGAAAACACAAATGAGAAGTCTGAAGAGTTGAAGGAAACTAAAGTAAATGATGCTCCTGTAAATGTTGGAGAACAGAAATGCTCCAGTAAAAAAACAAACACAGTGATGCAAAAACAAACAGGTAATAAGAACATGTGGTCTAATATTTAATTCTTACTGATACTGATGCTGACAGATCAATGCTGAATATATAACCTTTCTGTCACATACCTGTTGAGACCAACCAGAACGGAGACGTACTCCGTTGTACTGATGTATGAATGCTTTCTTTAACGATTTACTTTAATGATTAGAGAGGCTGCTTTCAGTAATCAGAAATGCTTACATGCAAAACTTAAAACTGTAGTTATAAACTTGACAGAACAGAGGAAAACATGCTTTATCAGGACGGCTCTGCAAACAATTTCACTGTATGAAAGACGCTTCACCCTATTTCACAAACCTGCAACCCATCCACGATAAATCAGAATATTCATTTTAATGACCCTGTTTGCTACCAACTAAATAATCTTTAATAATAAATAAATGGAGATGGTGTAATTACACTGTGTTTTTTCTTTCCTTTCAGCGATTCAGCCACAGAGAGTTCATTATGGTCTGTATAACCAGGGAGCCACATGTTACCTCAACAGTGTCCTGCAAGTTCTCTTCATGACTCCAGAGGTCCATGACAGGTTTGAAACAGCTGCTTTCATCTGTAGTTAATATAAGTACCAGGAGAATTTATATGTGACAAAAACATTGTGTAGAATATTAACAGGAAATACTGAATGATAAAATGATTTAATTGGGTGTATATGGCTGACTTACAAAACTCCATCAGTGAACATATAAGCAGACAAACAGTAAACAGCAACTATTCACTGAAAAACTAATCTCTCCCTAAAGGTTTAATTCAGAATTACATACAGAGATGACTAACATCTTTGCTGGCCTGAAGAAAGGAACATGTGGAACAGAAAAAATCACAAGGATTTTGCAGATTAAAAATGGTAAGTTGGACAGAAAGTCACATATCAGTGATAATTAAAGATGCTTTGATGAAATTAATATATCAGATATGGTTGAATGTATTCTTTTGTAGTTTATGAGCAAGGTGATGCTGCTGAATACCTGGAGTTGATTTTGAATAAGATCAGGCAACAAGACACTGCAGTGAGTACTTATCAAATCTACAACGTTATTTACAGGAAAAAAGATTGGAATACTCTAAGATGATAGATGTTTCTATCTCAAGGTTTTTCAAGGACGTCTGATGTACACAACAAAATGCTCTGAAGGTCACATCATCAATAAAGAGACAAATCCATTCTGGACTCTTCCACTGTGTCTGAAAGATAACCACGATACAACCTACAGTGTGGTGAGCAGACAAAGCTCAGAGCTCTAGTTTAGTATTTTAATGTGATCATGCTGCTCTAATATTATTATTACATTTGTGTTTTTACAGGAAAGAAGCTTTGAAAGGTTTTTCCAGACAAAAACATTTAATGGACACAACAAGGTTCACTGCAACAAATGTAACAACAAAACAGAGGCAACAAAGGTGAGTTCTGAAAAACTGTAGGAAGTTCAAATTTTATACTGGGATCCAATAAAAACACTGTATATTAATTTAGCATACTGAGATTAAAGGATTTAGTGTTTGATAATGTTTCTTGTGTTATTTAGGAATGTGAGATGGAGAAATATCCTCCGATTTTGACTCTACTTCTGAAGAGATTTGACTTTGACTACAGGAGGATGTCACATTACAAATCAGACTGCAGTGTGGATGTACCTCTTGAATTAAAGAGAAAGGTAACGAAAATGAATGTTTTATATGTGATTTATGTTTCAATGGTGTTCCTTTTAAATGTTTTCCAAATATTTCCATGTACCCGACTGTGTTCTTCATCGTAGAATCAAACGTACAAACTGTATGGGATGGTGAACCACATGGGCAGTCTAACAGGTGGACATTACACAGCCACCATCCTGTCCAATGAGGACGAAACCTGGTATGAGTGTAGTGATTCTTATGTCGGGAAGGTAAGATTACTTCATCTATTCCATTATGATGGTACACATTTGAACCATACCAACAGAAATATCAAACATTGAACAGAAGTTAATTTACATTGTTTGGTGTTTTTGTTGAATGGTGCAGGTTAAACAGCTGTTTGCAGGAAACAACACTTACACGTACGTTTGATAAAATCTATTTCATTAAATTTCATTAATAATAATTTGGTATGTATTACATTATCTATCCAGAAGTGTTTATTGTATGCTGTCACCCTTTTTGTTGTTCTATGCAAACAAAAACATCACCAGCTCCAGGACTGTATATCTTCTCATGTACAGAGGTAGGATTACATACAAATTACACAAAGAAATAATTTAAGATATGACTTTAAGTACAAACAAATTATTGCTAAATATATAATTTTTTCTTCTCTTCATAGCCACCGAGTCTCAGATGCCCTGTGGGACCAAATCAGGATATCTGGCACACAATGCAATGCAAGAACAGGATGACAGCATCCTGGATGAACCAAGGCCAGACGAAGTGGAATACAAAAAAAATGATGATGATGATGAGGACGAAGAACAGACAGAGATGCAGGAACAAACAGGTAATATGAAGAACATCTGGGAATCAGTGAGATGCAATAGATACATAATATTATAGATAATTGGCTCTATGTGATTCATTTTATATAAATACATATATTATGCAAACGTTCCACCAGTTCCGGGACTGTACATCCTCTCATGTTCTCTATATTAAAGTATCTATTTCGAAAGGCACATTACTCGGGTTTAAATGTTGACATTTAGGCTTGTTTCAAGGTGTAGATCATGAAGATGAAAATACTGACAGCTCATTGCTGAATTGCTAAATTGTTTTTCTTCACTTCAAACCCACAGAGTGTCACCTACTTATTGCTACCAACCAGAACGGAGACGAGGAAGAAGACAAAGGTAGGAGAATTAGACACTGATTATAAAGGTAGATTAGAGAGACAGACAGATTAGACAAGTTAAAGGTCCAGTTTGTAACATTTAGGAGGATCTATTGGCAGAAATGGAATATAATATTTATAATTGTGTTTTCATTAATGTATAATCACTAGTAATCATTGTGGTTTTGTTTGTAGACGCGAAAGGTAGCCTTCCATGTAGTCTGCCATGTTGAACCGCCATGTTTCAAATACCAAATACTGGCAGATCGTTCACTCATTGTTTGTTTTTCGTTCATTTTTCGGGTGTTTCTCGGCCACCGTAGTTTCTCCTTCATGCTTTCAAGGGAAGGGTAAAGCAAAAAAATTGCAATCTGCAATTATACCACTAGATGCTACTAAATTCTACACACTGGACCTTTAAAAGACTGAGGAACAGAGAATAGGTTGGAGGAAAAGAGACATTTAGCCATTAAAGTAAACCTGAGAAAGGCTAAATGTCAGAAGGTTCAATACGTGTGAGTACTGTTAGATATGAAACTTCAACCGTCTTATTTCATTCCAAGGAATGTGATTTTCATTATGCATCAAAAGCATTATATACAAATGCAAGTGTTACTTAAACTATGTTTTCTTTATGTTTTTTCACTTTCAGTTATATTAAGTTTGGCTGAAGAAATTTATTTCTGGTTTACTCACCCACCAGGTGATTCTCCAGGAGCTGATGAGAGTACGTCTTGGATCAAGAAAATATGTCAAGTATTTTGTATTAGTTTTTTGCCTCTTATTATTATAGTAATTGGTTGTTATTTTTTAACAACTACATAGGTAGCTAACTTAATTTGAGGAGGGAGACTGGTCACTTTTGGCACTTCTCCTATAACTGCATCCTGTATTGATTCTGAAATGCAAACCATAACAAAAAAAATATATTTGGCTTTTGGATCAGTTAAAATATTGTGCATATTTGGATATTTTCTTGTCTGCTGTATGCAACAGGGCCAAGTCTGGCACACATGTACATCAGTGTGAAAAAGTATAGCCACACTTTACCTGAATCTCAGATATTTGTGTACATATTTCTGTTTTTGCCTTTGTCTGGGTCTATGAAGAGGTAAATTATGTCATGTTACTACAACATTTCTAATAATGGAGTGAAGCCTGCAAGCTAGTTCAGCTTGTCAACTCGAGCTGCGCTGCTAAACACACATGACATGCCTTATTCCTTAATCACTAACCAAGCGCACCCTTCCAATCTGGTGGTGTCTTTAAGCTGCAAAATTTCCCAGCTCTCCCTCTGCTTTGTCAATGCTGCTCTTGCCCTGCAAGCTATTGCAGCCTGCTGTGCTATAAGCCCCACCACCACCCCAGCATCCACCTGTAGACTCTGACTGGGGGTTTAAGGTATTTGCTCATCACTCCCCAATATCTCTATGTAAACATATCTGCGGGGAGTGATGAGGTCGGAGCCTAGACGCCAAAATCTAAATATGTTATACTGCTTTAATAAACATATCATACGTGAGTTGTCTGACTGAACTATTATTAGTAGTCATACAATATGTCGGATGAATACTTACTCATAAGGACTGATGTAAAACCAAATAGATGAAGAACATCTCAAAAACTATCACATCTAGTGCAAGTATGATTGTGGCAGATAACATGAAAAATGTAAGCCAAGACTGTGTAGCATTGCTACTGTACCTCAGCCCATAATAGGTGAAGTCTGCAAAGGAATAATCAAGTGGGAACCAAGGGTCCATTTTGTTCAATTAGATTAACAATTGTCTCAAATCTTACCAAACTGGGGAAGTTTTGAGATGTTATTGTTGACGGCTCAGAGGTAGAGGGGGTTGTCCACTGATCAGAAGGTCAATCTCCGGCTTCCGTCCGCTATGAGTGGGAATGGCACATTGTATATGAATGACTGAGTGTGGCATGTAGTGTACAGCGCATTGAGTGGTCGAAAGACTAGGAAGGTGCTACATAAGTACAGTCCATTTACCATATTGTGTTTTTTTTATTAAAACATTTAATTACACATTTATTTATTTTTTCTCAGAGAATGTTTGGTTACACAATGTTCTCACTGTTAGCTGTTGATGTGTATGTGTGTGGTTTTATGAATAAATAATGTTTGTTCTGTTTTAATCACATTGGTCTACTGCTTGTTTCAGTTACTGTTAGCTGACATTTGAGGAAACTGACTGCCCCACTATTTATTTACTGTTAATTGGAACTCATTTTCCATACTTTTAACAGTATTCAACTTGAAATTAAAAGTAAAATATCTGTCAAAAAATTATAGATTTGTCTTTTTATGTGGAAAAAAGTGTATCACTGTGTCCTGAAAAGCTAAATGTCATTATTTTTGTATCTTGCCAGCAGCAACTGCAGTGTTTTATAAAGTTTAATCTCAAATGAGGGACTTTCTGTTTTTCCTCATAAGTTATTAGACTGTGGGAGAGGAGGGTGATGCAGAAGATGACAGCACAAAGAATAACAACTCAGAGCAACAATTCATGACAAAAAAAGTCAAAGAATAGTGAAACCAAATGAAGTAAACAAAACAAACAAGAATGGAGGTAATGTAAAGGTGCTGGGAAAACAGTACTTGCTATTTAGAGCTAAACACAAAGTATTGGACAAATAAAAAAATGAACCTGATGATAGCTAAAGTTAATGTTATTACAATTCCTCCTTTATACTCTGGATATCTGCACCAATCAGTTTTTAAGTGACAGGAAGTTTGTAAAAGAGTTTCAGGCCGACAAAACAGAATAGTTGATATTTTTGCAGTATTCTCGACTATATTCCGACTACATGCCACATGTAGGACAGACTCGGACAGAGGGGCAGGCGGTGATCCCCTCCACAGCGGACAGACTGATGGGCTTACACCTTTCCACTGGATATTTGGTTGGGCCTCTGGTGATGCCACATACTTACATGCATCAATCAGTATTTACTGTTGCCTATTTCTTCATTATTACACATTGTTATAAATAATAATTCATATTCAATATATAATATGCCATATTTTACAGGCTTTAAAATATTTTTTAAAGAGTTAGTAAAGAATACAATCTCTTGTCAGTGGTTGTGTTTAAACCACAAGATGGCAGCATTGTCTGTGAGTTGGAAAGTGTGACAAATGACCATGGAGGTTCAACAACAATTGACCAGTGATTCTCCACCTCCTGATGGTTTTAAGGTGATTAAAGCTTTTATCAAAGCTCATGCGTTGGCTGGGAATCGAACCCAGGTGAACTGCTTGGGAAGCAGCTATGCTCACCACTATATCACCAATGCCTTAAGAGCACTGTAACCTCCATGACCCCAACATGTGGTCTCACAACTGTATCCAGTCATTGCGGTCAGTTTCAGTGATACATAGTCCAGGTTTCAGTGATATTAAAGGCACTTTTGTCCATAATATATTTATTCAGAATACAGCTTTTCTATATTTTCAGTGTAAACCAATAGAGTTGTTACTGTACATTTACTCTAGTTCTGCATAATTTATAGCAACTATTTCCATTTTCTGCTGTTATACTTTTACTTTAATACATTTAAGACAGAAATATAGATTTCACTACATTGACAGCTATGTTTATAAAATATGATGAATTGTTAAAGATTAAACTACCCATAAAGCAGTTAAAATGACCTCCACACCTTAATAGTATTTACATTTGTGTGCTGTATCTGTAATTAATGATCAATTCTGCATGAATACTTTTACTTTTGATAAAGTACATTTTACAGATAATACTTATGTACTTTTACTTTTAACACATTTTAAATGCAGGATTTTAACTTGTAAATAAGTATTTTTATTGTGTTCTACTTGTACACAAGTTAATTATCTGAATACTGATTCCATCACTATAATTTTCTCTCTCATTGTTATTACTGTGTATTCACCACTATATCACAATTAATGTGACAATGACATGCTAAAGTTAGACGGAACCACTTACAGCATGTTTTATAAGTGCTGCTAAAATAGAAATAATTTCTATAAAACAATAATGTATATTTATTTATCTTTATTTCACAGGAAAAGCAACCATGGTTCAATTCATGTTAGGGGAACAAACAAATGAGTAAAAAAAATAAAAAAAAATCCTCATGTTGTGATGATATTGTTCCAAATTCTAAGTACAAATACAAAAACGATCTTACAGGCTCTTCACTGTTATTCAAAACTGGTGTGGAGTTAATTTATGATGATCGGCATAATTAAGAAAAGGAAGAAATTGTGTTATCATCGTCATCAATTATTTCCTCTGCCACACAGGTATAGAGGTCTGTCTAGGCGCTACACCAGTGGAGCAAAGTCGGTCATATGAGGATACCTCTTCCTCCTCACTCTCATCAGTGAACTCCTCACTCTCATCAGTGAGCTCCTGACACTCTTCAGTGGTTTTCAGGCACACGAAACAGAACTCCACCTTACAGCGGCGACAGACAATGTTTTTACATTGAGTCTTGTTATGCTCAAGTAGCAAACCACAGGTGGGACAGGCACGGATGGAGGGACAGCCAGTGACACCCTTCACATCTTCAAAGACCATGTCTGGAGAGTTTTTCAGTATTTCTAGTTGCTGATTAATGCAGCCATTGTTTTCACAGCGGTCTGAACGTGGAGCCGGACCTTTCCATTCCTTCAAACACTGCCAGCAGAATCTATAAGACCTTTTTTTGTTAGCTGTGCACACTGAGCATTCAATACTCAGATTACTGGGATCAGTTCTCACCACAGAGGACTTGCAACCAGGACACTGTGAAGTGAAGTTATAAGAAAAACATAATGAGATGTTGTTTTTTTCAGAGTTCAACAGTTATTAAATAGTGTAATATTGATACTTACAAGTTTCAAGTCGCCAGCATTGTTGAACATCTCCTGTTCAAAGTACTCCTTTTCTTCAGGGCTTAGAAGAGCCATTTTACAAACCTCCTCAAAGGGCCACTGAACATCACAGTCAGGTTGACCACACACAAATCTGCACTCACCCTTAGATATTAAAGAGAAAATCAAAGAAAACCTTTAACAGTTTTCTGTCATTTAGTAAACTGATGGTCCCTGCTATTTATATGTATTCAAACTGTACAATGGAGTGGTTGGGAACAACTGTCCTACGGTGCCTTTTCAGTGGAGAAAACATGATGAAGTGCCCTCTATTGTGCTAATCCTAACCTTGACTAAGCTGTTTCACCATAAATGTGTCACAACTTTTTGTACACTGGTTTTTGTTTTTTATTTTTTCACCTCAAACAGCCAGAAAGTCAACAACTGGTGCTATTAACCAACATCAGAAAAACATTTTTATGTAACTAAACTCACTGCTAAATTAAACTGGTCACTTTCTGTTATACCATGTATAAATACAATCTAAACCCTTTAGCACAATACATGCTGCCACTATGCACATTGTCAGTGAAGTTTAGTCACTAAAACAGATTTTATATTGCATTATGATGTAAACAGCCTACCTTGTCCAACAACCTGCGACACCAGTCGGTGAGAGACATCGGAGTGACAGCATGACCACAGGACATCTTTGCTCTCAGAGACTTGTAGCCAATACACAGAACTGTGAGGCACACATAAACAAGGAGAGCTATAATACTTAAAAGTAGCAGGTAAATACATAGATAGCAGAAGCTAATGTTTGCTTGGTGATCATATGACATTCATAAGATAAGATAATGTGACATTTGACTACTTACAGTCTAAATCATCCTCTCCATCGATAAATGTAAGTGTTTTGTCTTGAGGGTCGTAACACTTCTCCTGTTCAGTTGTCATGTTGCTGCTCATCTTGACCAAATGTAAAATGTAGGTTACTTACTCAAATAAAATACCAGCTTTATGGGGGAATTTCTTTTCCTTTCGCTTTTAATTTCCAAGAAGTCATGTGATTTTTTTACGTGACGCGTATTAAAAAAAACCCCATCTGATATCACAAAGCCTATTTATTTACCAAACGTTTCACTTTCTGAACAGACAGATCTGAAGAACTCACTGAACAAGCTCCAAAATGTGTTTCCAAGTCTGCGTTCATCCACCCTTTGGAAAAGAAAAGATTTTCGAGCTGTGCGACAATAAACAGCAGCTGAAGAACATCACTGGACGGCAATTTAAAGAGAAAATTTGTAAAGAGCTGTGGATAAGTAAGTGTATTATTTAGTTTACTCTTTTAAGGTGTTTGGATATCAATTTTAATAATAAAAATGTAAGTTAAGACAATACAGCCTATGTTCTAGGATTGTGCAGTACAAGTGGGCGGACCCAGGTTTGTCCACAACACTGTGCCTGCCTTTAACCCTCAGTTGTTTCAATGTGACTTCAGAGAGTCTAATGCTGCTTCTTTTTAACACTCTGTCAGTCTTGTAACTGTAAATGGACCACACTTCTAAAAATAACCCTTTAGTTCAGCCATCTTTTCATCTAACAAAAACAAAACCAAACTTGAAAATGTAGCCTAGGTTAATGTGTAAGATAATGCAACTATTTATTTTTGCTTTAAGAGGATGACTTTCGGATTGTCGTAAACGCCAAGCCGGTGGAGGAAGAGGCCACTCTGGAATCCACTGGGATCGAGCACATGTCCACAGTTCATACAGTGCTGAAACTGTCCGGGGGCACATCTGATGAAGAATAAACCCCACACGGTCTCAAGAAAACCATGATCCATGCATGAACAAATCAATATATCCTCATGCAATCCTTTTTTAATCGTTAATGTTTTAGATAATCAAAGTGTATAGTTTAACATTGAATCATGAATAAAAAAAATTTATTTTACTCTTGGATGTACAGAAATTGTTTTCAGTGTCAAAACATTTTTTTTTTTATGAGCTCATTTTGATTCATTGTGTGTGGTTTGTAATAATAACATTTTTATAAACTCTACTTGTCTCACTGGGCTTCCTCGCATTGTTCCTCACAGCTAAAAATTAAACTGTGAAAAATTAAAAATGGGTGAAAAATAGTTGGTATGAGTATATGCAAAATGAAATGCAAATTAAAAGTAAGGATTAAAGAACAACAACAAGAGACTATCAGGGAGGCACAGGCTTCAGTCACACAGATACACTGAGTCACTTAACAGCTGATAAAAGTGAAATCAATAGAAAGAGTGGGCAGTATAAGGACATCGATTAAACTTATTTATCTTTTCAAAACAGGCAACACAGATTCAGAGATAGACAGATAATAAATCTACATAAAACTAAAATTAATATAATTAATAAACAGTATACATACCTAGGCCTCACTGTCACTTCTTCAGTAAAGCTCACAGCTTATTACAGTGTAAAAAAAAGTCCAAAAAAGATTTGGCTTAAAATTTTCCAAAGCAATACTGAACCAATCCTTTTATATAGAAGTGAAGTGAAGTTTGGTGAATATTAATTAAACAAGAGTAGAGAGTACAACCTGAGAAACATACTGAGAGTCCAAAGAAACTGTCCAAACCAAAGCTGCAAAGCAGAGCTCGGACAATTCTCCCTCATAAGTTAAATTAAATAAAGAACAATCAAATATTTGAACCACTTGATAGAGTCAGATTCATTCACACCCACACAGAGCATACTGAGAGCAACAGATACATAGAATGAAACAAATGAGGGAATTACACTACTGCAAAAGTGATGCTATGGAAATAATTTCCACTCACAAGTAAAATAAGTAGACAAAGATAATAAGATATTTCAAGCACTGGAAAACAGAAATGCAATGAATAAATAAACCTACAATGCTTTCAATTAAAGTGAAAGTGAAATTACAGCTGAGAGAGAGACAGGATCACGTGGTTTGTGTCGGTGTTTTCCTCCAGTTATATCAGGTATAAACAATGTTTTTCCCCGGGATTCCCATAGAGGAGCACAAACAGCCTCAGGTTGGTCTGTAGTTTCACTTTTTGTCAAAGAGACAATCAGAATATTGATTATGAAGCTTTTCTGTAAATGATTTCCTCATATTTGACCCTTATCACTTAATTTGCTAAAAATAACTTACAGACCATCTGCACCTGCTACAAACAGCCAACAATCACTGGCTGTTGTGACTTGACACCAATAAATGGGAAACAATAATGTGAAATTGTAGTAAAAAAATCACATTTATTTAACCCCCCCAAACAGAGTCATTATAGATTTGTATTTTTTCGTCATTTTTTCTTTTTATTTAGTTTTCCATTCAGTTTAGTTTCAGTTTTTTTTTTTTATTGTTTTCAGTGTTCATTATAATATAGGGGGTAAATGTCAGGGGCAGGTCTTATGTTAAAATGTCACAAACAGTGAATTTAGGTATTAGATACTGAAATTGTTGATTTGAAACTTTATATGCCCAACTTTACAGCAGAAATAAACATGTTTACAGCCTGTACCAGCCTGTACCAGGCTGTAAACACAATACAGCACCACAGGCCAGTTAATCAACATACATTTATTGCCTCCGCACACACTGTCAATACAAAATCCTGCTTCACAGCTCTTCTTCTTCACATCCTTTTTGCTTTGTGTGTGGCGGCCAACTCACTCATGACTACATTAACAGAGGTGAGTGTGATTCATCAATGTGGTCTCACAAGCCTTCCCCACACCTCTCATTCTCCTGCAGCTGAGTGTAAACAACACCTATCTCCACAAACCCCCACAGGGGAACATGGTCTGAACACAGGGTGAATGGGAGCCCCAGCAGGTTCTAACACATAGCGTCGATAGCCAAGCACTCTTTTTCAATCATGCTATAATGCAACTCTCTCTCTGACAGCTTCAGACTGATTTATAGCACCGGGCGGTTGACTCCCTCCACCTGCGGAGACAGAATGGCCCCCAGCCCTCCGTTTGAAGTATCAGTCTGCAGGATAAAAAGGAGAAGAGAAGTTAGATATGTGTCACCCTCTCAAATGCCAGCTGACACTGCTCAGTCCACTGATATGAGGCACCTTTTTCGGGTAAGGTCGGTCAGGGGGCTGGGTCTAGTCTGGGAAGTTGGGAATGAACCGCCAGTAATAACCTGCCAGGTCCAAGAACAGCCTCACCTCCATTTTGGTCTTGGGCCGTCTACTTGAGGATGCCCCTGCCCACTGCCACCAAGTGGTACCCTAGATACCATACTTCCCTCCGTCCAACTGCACACTTCTTCGGGTTGGCAATGAGCCCAGCCTGCCTCAGCGACTTGAGCACCGCTGCCACACTCTGCATATGCTCCCGCCAGCTGTTACTATGAATGATAAGATCATACAAGTAAGCAGCAGGACACAAGACATGGTCTATGAACCGCTGGAAGGTAACAGATTGTTACAACCCATACGGAGTGGAGAAGGCTGTTTTTTCTTTAGACTATGGAGACAAGGGAATCTGCCAGTAGCCCATGGTTAAATCCAGTCTCGTAAAAAAAACAAGCAGTGCCCAACCGATCTAGGAGCTTGTCGACCCTGGGCATTGGGTAAGCATCAAACTGTGACACATCATTCACCTTGCGATAGTCCACACAGAACCGAATAGACCCATCCTTCTTAAGCACCAGAACAATTCAGCTACACCAGGGACTGTTGGACTATTCTATTACTCCCATCTCCAACATGGCTTTCAATTAGTTCTGAACCCCTTTTCTTTTGTGTTCAGGTAACCGATAGGGCCGTGAACACACTGTCACAGTGACTCTCAATATGTTGCTCTATGAGAATTTTTACGTCCTGGCAGGGGGGAGATCACATCAGCATAACGCTGTTGCAGCATAGCAACGTCTTCTCTCTGGGACGGTGTGAGATGGTCATCACAATGGAGCGAGGCAGGATTTGTTGATTTTGGTACCTCAGGCCCCAACTGATCTCTCTTTTTCACCATGGTCACCATAGAAACAGACTCTGCCTCTCTCCACGCTTTAAGGGGATCAAGATGGTAAGTCTGTGTTACCCCTCCCCTGTCTGAATGCACAACCTCATAGTCAACATCACTCACTTGCCGTGTGACCACAAAGGGTCCTTGCCACTTGGCGAGTAATTTAGAGCTGGAAGAAGGCAGTAATACTAGCACTTTATCTCCCAGTGCAAATTGTCTCAGTCTAGTTCCTCTGTTGTATAGGCGCTGTTGATGCTCCTCCCGTGACAACTGTCCCAATGTTTGGAGTTTTGTGGTCAGGGCCAGGACGTACTAAACTTAATTTTTACTTGGGCTTGGATCTTCCTCCTAGCTTTCTTTAACCAGGTCCAGAACCTGGAACCTCAATGAGTGGTAATGGACACAAAGGCGCTCTTGGTATGGAACCAACTGACATTTGGGACAAGACACACACCAGCGGTGGCAGAAGGTCTGGGGGTCATCCACCGTTGTCATCTAATGCAGGGTGATATTGGAGAAGGAAGGAGGTGGAAGAGATGGCGAATGAGCCCCTGATCTGGCCAGCAGATTCTCTAGCAGCTGGTTGTGCTTCTCAGTCTGGTCATGGAGTGCCTCCAGATGCTGCAACCTCCCCCAGCAATGCCACCAGAGGCGAGGCTGCTGCAGAGGCTGCTGCAGAGGCTGCTGCTGGTCTAACATAATGTGTGCTGAGGTATGTTGGGTGCCAGTGTAGCAAGTCTCTCTACTACCATGGATTCCTTCAGCACACAATACAGCACCACAGGTCAGTTCATCAACATAAATTTATTGGCCCTCATACACCGTCAATAAAACACACTGTCACAGCTCTTCCAACATCCGTGACAGTTCACGCTTTAGTTTCAGGGAGAGATACAGAACAGTTGATAATTTTGCACCCTAATGCCACATGTAGGACAGGCTCAGGCAGAGCGGGCTGACTACAGAAGTTTCAGGTCCCTTTTATTAATGCCCTCCAGGAGATTTTCGGTTGAATAAAGCATGCATTGGCCGGGAATCAGATCAACTGCTTGGGAAGCAGCTATGCTCACCACTATACCACCAATGCCTTGATAGTACCTCAACCTCCATGACCCCAACATGTGATCTCACAACTGTATCCAGTCATTGCTGTCAATTTGAGTGATACATTGTCCAGGTTTCAGTGGGATTAAAGATAGTTTAGTCCATAATATATTTATTCAGAATACAGCTTTTCTATCTATATTTTCAGTGTAAACCAATAGAGTTGTTGCTGTACATACTCACCTCTGTATCTGAGCTATTTTAAGGTATTATTGTACATCTATAATCAGTGGTGCTGCAAAGAATTAAACCATCTCTTCTCCATATTTACAATGTATCTGACGAAAACTATCTCAGTACATTTACTCTGGTTCTGCATAATTTATAGCAAATATTTCCATTTTCTGCTGTTATACTTCTACTTTAATACATTTAAGACAGAAATATACATTTTACTCCATTGACAGCTATGTTGATAAAATATGATGCATTGTTATAGATTAAACTACCCATAAAACAGTTAAAATTACCTCCACCTCACAACATCTTAATAGTATTTACATTTGTGTGATGTATCTGTAATTAATGGTCCATTCTGCATGAATACTTTTACTTTTCAAGAAGTACATTTTGCTGTTAATACTTATATACTTTACTTTGAGTGCAGGATTTTTATTTGTGATATTTCTACTTGTACACAAGTTAATTATCTGAATACTGATTCCGTCACTATCTTCTTATTGTTATTGTTATTACTGTGAATTCACCACTATATCACAATTAATGTGACAATGACATGCTGAAGTTAGAACTACTTACAGTGTGTTTTATAAGTGCTGCTAAAATAGAAATAATTTACTCAAACTAATAATGTATATTAATTTATCTTTATTTCACAGGAAAAACAACAATGAGAGAACAGCGAAGAAGCAACATCCAGCAAAATGATTCAAAAATAGAATAAACAGTGAGTTTGAAGTAGAAATGGTCTTACTTAATGTTTCAATTGTGGAGAGAAAGAGCTAATTCTCATGTTGTGATGATATTCTTCCAAATTCTCAGTACAAGTTAAAAAAAGATCTTTAGTGTTATTTAAAACTGGTCTGGAGTTAAGAAGGTGTAGTTGTTTTTCTTGAGTTCACAGTGTTAAATCTTCATCACCATCAATTATTTCCTCTTCCACACAGGTATAGTGGTCTGTCTAGGTGCTACACCAGTGGAGCACGGACCAAATATGTTTTGGTACACTCCAATGAGCTTCAGGCACACAAAACAGAACTTCACCTTACAGCGGCGACAGATGATGGTTTTACATTGAGTCTTGTTATGCTCCAGCAGCAAACCACAGGTGGGACAGGCACGGATGGAGGGACAGCCTGTGACACCCTCCACATTCTCAAAGACCATGTCTGGAGAGTTTCTTAGTATTTCTAGTTGCTGATTAATGCAGCCATCGTTTTCACAGCGGTCTGAACGTGGAGCCGGACCTTTCCATTCCTTCAAACACTGCCAGCAGAATCTATAAAACCTTTTTTTGTTAGCTGTGCACACTGAGCATTCAATACTCAGATCACTGGGATCAGTTCTCACCACAGAAGACTTGCAACCAGGACACTGTGAAGTGAAGTTATAAGAAAAACATAATGAGATGTTGTTGTTTTTTTTTCAAAGAACAGTTATTAAATAGTGTAATATTGATACTTACAAGTTTGGAAGTCAAGTCGCCAGCATTGCTGAACATCTTCTGTTCAAAGTACTTCTTTTCTTCAGGGCTTAGAAGAGCCATTTTATAAACCTCCTCTAAGGGCCACTCAACATCACAGCCAGGTTGGCCACACACAAATCTGCACTCACCCTTAGATATTAAAGAGAAAATCAAAGAAAAACCTGTAACACTTTTCTGTCATTTAGTAAACTGATGGTCCCTGCTATTTATATGTATTCAAACTGTACAATGGAGTGGTTGGGAACAACTGTCCTACGGTGCCTTTTCAGTGGAGAAAATAACATGAAGTGCCCTCTATTGTGCTAATCCTAACCCAGACTAAGCTGTTTCACCATAAATGTGTCACAACAGCCAGAAAGTCGATAACTGGTGCTATTGACCAACATCAGAAAAATATTTTTTCATGTAACAAAACTCACAGTTTCACTGCTAAATTAAACGGTCACTTTCTGTTATACCATGTATAAATACAATCTAAACCCTTTAGCACAATACATGCTGCCACTATGCACATTGTCAGTGAAGTTTAGTCACTAAAACAGATTTTATATTGCATTATGATGTAAACAGCCTACCTTGTCCAACAACCTGCGACACCAGTCGGTGAGAGACATCGGAGTGACTGCATGACCACAGGACATCTTTGCTCTCAGAGACTTGTAGCCAATACACAGAACTGTGAGGCACACATAAACAAGGAGAGCTATAATACTTAAAAGTAGCAGGTAAACACATAGATAGCAGAAGCTAATGATTGCTTGGTGATCATATGACATTCATAAGATAATATAATGTGACATTTGACTACTTACAGTCTAAATCATCCTCTCCATCGATAAATGTAAGTGTTTTGTCTTGAGGGTCGTAACACTTCTCCCGTTCAGTTGTCACATTGCTGCTCAGTTGTCCGGAGTTATTCCTCTGTTCAGTTGTCACTTGGTTGCCCATCTTGACTAAATGTAATATGTAGGCTACCTATTCAAATAAAGCACCAGCTTTATGGGGGGGACTTCCAAGAAGTCATGTGATTTTATTTAAATGTGACGCATATTAAAAAAAAATAAACATCTGATATGACATAGCCTATTTATCTACTAAACGTTTCACTTTCTGAACAGACAGATCTGAAGAACTCACTGAACAGGTTTCAAAATGTGTTTCCAAGTCTGCGTACACCCACTGGAACAGAAAAGATTGTCGATCTAAAGAGCAGCTGAAGAACATCACTGGACGGCAACTTAAATTACTAAAGACCTGTGGAAAAGTATATGTATTCTTTTGTTATTAAGGAGGCTGTCAATCCAGTCAGGCAGGATTTTTCTAGCTATACTTTCCTTCTTCAACATTGTTTTCTCGGTTCTTGGTCTCTTTGCAGCTATGAAATTAACTGATAAATGCATTCACGATAGTAATATAATAATTATTACTTTTTTAGAAATGTAAATTTAGTCTTTATTCTGTATTTGAATGTTAATTTTAATAATGATAAATGTGAAATTAATAGAAAGCGTGACAGAGAGAAAGAGTGGGCAGTATAATGGCATTGATTAAACGTATTTATCTTTTCAAAACAGGCAACACAGATTCAGAGATAGAGAAAGAATAAATCTACATAAAACTAAAATTAATATAATTAATAAACAGAGTATACATACCTAGGCCTCTCTGTCAATGCTTCAGTAAAGCTCACAGCTTATTACAGTGTAAGAAAGGTCCTATTCAAATAAACCCCCAATAAAGTTTTGGCTTAAAATTTTCCAAAGCAATACCGAACCAGTCCTTTTATATTGAAGTGAAGTTTGGTGAATATTAATTAAACAAGAGTAGAGAGTACAACCTGAGAAACATACTGAGAGTCCAAAGAAACAGTCCAAACCACAGCTGCAAACCAGAGCTCGGACAATTCTCCCTCATAAGTAAAATGAAATAAAGAACAATCAAATATTTGAACCACTTGATAGAGTCAGATTCATTCACACCCACACAGAGCATACTGAGAGCAACAGATACATAGAATGAAACAAATGAGGGAATTACACTAATATGCAAAAGTGATGCTATGAAAATAATTTCCACTCACAAGTAAAACAAGTAGACAAAGATAATAAGATATTTCAAGCACTGGAAAACAGAAATGAAATGAATAAATAAACCTACAATGCTTTCAATTAAAGTGAAAGTGAAATTACAGCTGAGAGAGAGACAGGATCACGTGGTTTGTGTCAGTGTTTTCCTACAGTTAAATCAGATATAAACAATGTTTTACCCGGGATTCCCATAAAGGAGCACAAACAGCCTCAGGTTGGTCTGTAGTTTCACTTTTTTTTCCAGTCAGTTTCAAAAGTCGTTTCAGTTGAGTTTTTATTGTTTTCAGTGTTCATTATAATATAGGGGATAAATGTCAGGGGCAAGATTTAAAGAGTTCAGAATATTACAAAACATTTACATAAGTCATAAACAGAGTATTTAGCAGGAACACAATCAGGAAAACTGTGAATGTCCTGACAGGCTGATGTTAAACAAAATAAATCAGCACGGTAATGTAATGTAAAACTACTGAAGTAAGAAATACAGCCACTCAGACCCATATAACCACATACTACCGCTCATTGAGCTGAGCTAGAGTACTTTGGCTTTTGGTATAAATACTCAAGCACACATATACATACCCAAGTATACACATACACCGATCAGCCATAACATTATGACCACCTGACCACTTGCATCAGTGAGCCTTGCCCCCCCATGACCCAGTCGCTAGTTCACCACTTTTCCTTCCTTGGACCACGTTTAATAGGTACTGACCTCTGCAGACCGGGAACATCCCACAAGAGCTGCAGTTTTAGAGAGGCTCTGACCCAGTCATCTAATCATCACAGTTTGGCCCTTAACAAAGTTGCTCAAATCCTCACACTGCCCATTTTTCCTGCTTATAACACATCAACTCTGAGGACAAAATGTTCACTTGCTGCCTGATATATCCCGCCCACTGACAGGAGCCATGATAACCAGATAATCAGTGTTATTTACTTCACCTGTCAGTGCTCATAATGTTATGACTGTTCGGTGCACATACTCACACATTCTCACATTCTGTATGTGTGTGTTTAAGTATGTATATGTATGCATAATAGTATGCATATATGTGCTTACTGCCAGTATATATGTCTGTACAAATGAAGTATTCAGATTTGGCCAAGGCAGCTTCTCATATATCTGTTGTTCCATCACATACTGTGTTGGCTCTTTTTCTGTGAATAACATGAGCTGTTTTTATATAACTGTGTGTTCAACTTCCTGTCATTCATGAAAAATACAAGAAGAAAGGCAAAAGCTCAAATTATTCATATAATATATTATTAATCAACAAGCGTTATATATTTCTATCTGACGTCACTATAGGAACAGAGTATATGTCTTATTTTATAAATAAGACAGCTGTTGCTTTGTGGACAGAAAAGGCAAAAATCAATATGCTGCATTTAAGGAATCAATAGTTTATACATTACGGGGTTGATGGATGATGCTAATTAAAAGGCTGATTAAATATCAATAATTTTGCCTGCATTTCATGTCTCTGCAGTTGAGCTCCTCTTAAAGCACAAAAAGTTCGGGAGGGAACTCCAGATATTACAGCAAGGGCTACCTCTTTCTGTCTCACCCTGGCTCACACTCTTTCCACCATGAGTAGACCCCATGCTGTTTAGATTTTCCTGTATTTCATCTTCACTGTTAAGCAATTTTTGTTTTTCCCGGTCCTCGTCACTTTTCGTGTTTCTGTAGCAACTTGTTTCTCTGACTGATGTGTCTTTCTTTATACTTTCTGCATCACCCTCCTCTCCTCTAGCCTGAAGACCGAGTGCATCTTCTTCACTATGTCCCATCTGTGTGTTGTCTTCATCATCAGTGTCTCTTTTGCTGACATTGTTGTTTTCACCTTCCTCTCCTTTCTGTTCTTCCAGACCAATATCTTCACCCTGTTCTTCTTTCACCTCGTCTTTCAGATCTTCTGAACTGGTTTCAGCAGGTTTCTGACACTCTGTGGATTTGAAGAAGAAATAAAGTAAAATATTCAGTAATCATTTATATCAGTGTCAATATCAGTAAAAAAAAATGTTTTTTTCATGAATTACACCATGAAAAAAGTCTATATGCCAACATACACACCCAACTAATATATCCTTGTAAAAAGATACTTTAGTATTGTTTGTGTAGTGTATAATAATGTATCTAAATGTATAAAAGAAATCACATAGAGCCAATGAAAGAGGTCATTTTTGCATGTTGCCATTGAAACACAGATTCATGCATGTTCTTCTTATTACCTGTTTGTTTCTGCCTCTCTGTCTTTGTCTCTTCATCCAGATGTTGGTCACTGGAATATTTAACCTGTTCTTCAACATTTACAGGAGCATCATCTACTTTAGTTTCCTTCAACTCTTCAGACTTCTCATTTGTGTTTTCTTCTGTGCTGCTGGAATGTGAACTGTCCTCATTTATAAACCCATTGTCCTGTACTTCTTTATCTCCACTGGTTTTTACTTTGCTCAGTGTTGCACATTTGACACCAGTGTTGATGTTTCTGTCATTAATTGTTTCTCTGTCTGATGTGTCTTTCTTCTCACCCTGCTCTCCTCTAACCTGAAGAATGCACTGTGTCTCGTTCTCCTCGGCCGAGCAATTAAATCTGCTGTCATCGTGGTCTCCTGAACTCTTCATCGAGTACGACTGGTTCGCACTTTTTCCATCAAAGGTAGACCCCATGCTTTTTAGATTTTCCTGTACTTCTTCATCTTCACTGTTTAGCAATTTTTGTTTTTCACAGTCCTTGTCACTGTTTGTGTTTCTGTAATAACTTGTTTCTCTGACTGATGTGTCTTTCTTTACACTTTCTTCATCACCCTCCTCTCCTCCAGCCTGAAGACTGAGTGTATCTTTCTCCTGATCTTTTCCCATCTGTCCATCATCTTCTTCACTATGTCCAATCTGTGTGTTTTCTTCATCATCAGTGTCTCTTTTGCTGACATTTTTGTTTTCCAGTTCCTCTCCTTTCTGTTCTTCCAGACCAATATCTTCACCCTGTTCTTCTTTCACCTTGTCTGTCAGATCTTCTGAATTGGTTTCAGCAGGTTTCTGACACTCTGTGGATTTGAAGTAGAAATAAAGTAAAATATTCAGTAATCATCTGTATCAGAGTCAGTATCAGTAAGTCTTTTCATGAATTACACCCTGAAAAAAGTCTATATGTCAACATACAAACCCAACTAATGTATCCTTGGTAAAAAGATACTTTAGTATTGTTTGTGTAGTATATCATAATGTATCTAAACGTACAAAAGAAATTACATAGAGCCAATGGAAGAGGTCATTTTTGTATGTTGCCATAGAAACACAGATTCATGCATGTTCTTATTATTACCTGTTTGTTTCTGCTTCTCTGTCTTTGTCTCTTCATTCAGATGTTGTTCACTGGAGTTATTCAACTGTTCTCCAACATTTACAGGAGCATCATCTACTTTAGTTTCCTTCAACTCTTCAGACTTGTCATTTGTGTTTTCTTCTGTGCTGCTGGAATGTGTATTGTCTTCATTCACGAACAGAGTTTCCTGTACTACTTCATCTTCACTATTTATCAGTTTATTCTGTTTTTCACAGTCCTCATCCGTGCTCATGTGTCTGTCATTAATTGTTTCTCTGACTGATGTGTCTTTCTTTACACTTTCTTCATCACCCTCCTCTCCTCTAGCCTGAAGACTGAGTGCATGTTTCTCTTGATCTTTTCGCATCTGTCCCTCATCTTCTTCACTATGTCCCATCTGTGTGTTGTCTTCATCATCAGTGTCTCTTTTGCAGACATTTTTGTTTTCCAGTTCCTCTCCTTTCTGTTCTTCCAGACCAATTACTTCACCCTGTTCTTCTTTCACCTTGTCTGTCAGATCTTCTGAATTGGTTTCAACAGGTTTCTGACACTCTGTGGATTTGAAGTAGAAATAAAGTAAAATATTCAGTAATCATCTGTATCAGAGTCAGTATCAGTAAGAACAAAGTCTTTTCATGAATTACACCCTGAAAAAAGTCTATATGTCAACATACAAACCCAACTAATGTATCCTTGGTAAAAAGATACTTTAGTATTGTTTGTGTAGTATATCATAATGTATCTAAATGTACAAAAGAAATCACATAGAGCCAATGAAAGAGGTCATTTTTGTATGTTGCCATAGAAACACAGATTCATGCATGTTCTTCTTATTACCTGTTTGTTTCTGCTTCTCTGTCTTTGTCTCTTTATCCAGATGTTGGTCACTGGAGTGTTTCACCTGTTCTTCAACATTTACAGGAGCATCATCTACTTTAGTTTCCTTCAACTCTTCAGACTTCTCATTTGTGTTTTCCTCTGTGCTGCTGGAATGTGAACTGTCCTCATTTATAAACCCATTGTCCTGTACTTCTTTATCTCCACTGGTTTTTACTTTGCTCAGTGTTGCACATTTGACACCAGTGTTGTTGTTTCTGTCATTAATTGTTTCTCTGTCTGATGTGTCTTTCTTCTCACCCTGCTCTCCTCTAACCTGAAGAATGCACTGTGTCTCTTTCTCCTCGGCCGAGCAATTAAATCTGCTGTCATCGTGGTCTCCTGAACTCTTCATCGAGTACGACTGGTTCGCACTTTTTCCATCAAAGGTAGACCCCATGCTTTTTAGATTTTCCTGTACTTCTTCATCTTCACTGTTTAGCAATTTTTGTTTTTCACAGTCCTCGTCACTGTTTGTGTTTCTGTAATAACTTGTTTCTCTGACTGATGTGTCTTTCTTTACACTTTCTTCATCACCCTCCTCTCCTCCAGCCTGAAGACTGAGTGTATCTTTCTCCTGATCTTTTCCCATCTGTCCATCATCTTCTTCACTATGTCCAATCTGTGTGTTTTCTTCATCATCAGTGTCTCTTTTGCTGACATTTTTGTTTTCCAGTTCCTCTCCTTTCTGTTCTTCCAGACCAATATCTTCACCCTGTTCTTCTTTCACCTTGTCTGTCAGATCTTCTGAATTGGTTTCAGCAGGTTTCTGACACACTGTGGATTTGAAGTAGAAATAAAGTAAAATATTCAGTAATCATCTGTATCAGAGTCAGTATCAGTAAGTCTTTTCATGAATTACACCCTGAAAAAAGTCTATATGTCAACATACAAACCCAACTAATGTATCCTTGGTAAAAAGATAGTTTAGTATTGTTTGTGTAGTATATCATTATGTATCTAAACGTACAAAAGAAATTACATAGAGCCAATGAAAGAGGTCATTTTTGTATGTTGCCATAGAAACACAGATTCATGCATGTTCTTCTTATTACCTGTTTGTTTCTGCTTCACTGTCTTTGTCTCTTCATTCAGATGTTGTTCACTGGAGTTATTCAACTGTTCTCCAACATTTACAGGAGCATCATCTACTTTAGTTTCCTTCAACTCTTCAGACTTGTCATTTGTGTTTTCTTCTGTGCTGCTGGAATGTGTATTGTCTTCATTCACGAACAGAGTTTCCTGTACTACTTCATCTTCACTATTTATCAGTTTATTCTGTTTTTCACAGTCCTCATCCGTGCTCATGTGTCTGTCATTAATTGTTTCTCTGACTGATGTGTCTTTCTTTACACTTTCTTCATCACCCTCCTCTCCTCTAGCCTGAAGACTTAATGCATGTTTCTCTTGATCTTTTCGCATCTGTCCCTCATCTTCTTCATTATGTCCCATCTGTGTGTTGTCTTCATCATCAGTGTCTCTTTTGCAGACATTTTTGTTTTCCAGTTCCTCTCCTTTCTGTTCTTCCAGACCAATATCTTCACCCTGTTCTTTTTCACCTTGTCTGTCAGATCTTCTGAATTGGTTTCAACAGGTTTCTGACACTCTGTGGATTTGAAGTAGAAATAAAGTAAAATATTCAGTCATCATCTGTATCAGACTCCCCATGGTGCTCTGCTGTTACACTGTTCTCACCAGTTTTCATGTTCATGTCATGACTTTCTCTAACTGATATATATCATCTTCATTGTCTGATCTGAGCCTTTCACACTGAGATTTTCCTATCATATCTACCTTCTTCTTTCTTAGTTTCTCATTCAGCAAAGGGTCACCTTCAAGTTCAGTCTCTGATCTGACTTCAGTGTTCAAACCATTCTTTAAACTTTCTGCATTACCCTCTACTCATCCAGTCTGGCAGCTTAATGCGTCATTATCACTACTCATCCTTCCTTCATCTTCTTCCCTCTGTCTTATCTTTCTATTCTCTTTGTTATTAGCATCCATTTCTCCTAATTGTATTTTTTGTTTAATGTTTTCTTGTCTAAGATCATCCATTACATGTCTCACAGGACATGTTAGACTCCAAGTGAAGAGAAGAATATATTCAGCAATGCTGTATGAATATAACAATCATAGACTAAAAAAACTATTTCTTTGTGTATTTTTGTGAGCCTACCTCTGTACATGAGCAGATATACAGTCCTGGATCTGGTGAACAATAACTGATGTTATTATTTGAATAGAACAACAATAAGGTGATAATATACAGTGGAGAGATATTGTGATATATCTCAAATCAATGATAAAATGAATTTACAAATACAAACATACTTGTAAGTTTCTTTTTCAAACAGCTGTTCAACCTGCAACATTCAACAGAAACAGACCAAACAATGTAAATGAACTTCTGTTCAATGTTTGATATTTCTGTTGGTGTGTTTTAAATGTGTGCCATCATAATGGAATGGATGAAGTAACCTTACCTTCCTGACGTAAGTATCACTACACTCATACCAGGTTTCATCCTCATCGGACAGGATGGTGGCTGTGTAATGTCCACCTGTTAGACTGCCCATGTGTTTCACCATCCCATACAGTTTGTACGTTTGATTCTACGATGAAGAACACAGTCGGGTACATGGAAATATTTGGAAAACATTTAAAGGGAACACCACTGAAACATAAATCACATATAAAACATTCATTATTGTTACCTTTCTCTTTAATTCAAGAGGTACATCCACACAGCAGTCTGATTTGAAATGTGACATCCTCCTGTAGTCAAAGTCAAATCTCTTCAGAAGTACTGTCAAAATTGGAGGATATTTCTCCATCTCACATTCCTAAATAACACAAGAAACATTATCAAACACTAAATCCTTTAATCTCAGTATTCTAAATTAATATACAGTGTTTTTATTGGATCCCAGTATAAACTTTGAACTTCCTACAGTTTTTCAGAACTCACCTTTGTTGCCTCTGTTTTGTAGTTACATTCGTTGCAGTGAACTTTGTTGTCTCCATTAAATATTTTTGTCTGGAAAATCCTTTCAAAGCTTCTTTCCTGTAAAAACACAAATGTAATAATAATATTAGAGCAGCATGACCAGATTAAAATACTAAACTAGAGCTCTGAGCTTTGTCTGCTCACCACACTGTAGGTTGTATCATGGTTATCTTTCAGAGACAGTGGAAGAGACAGTGGAAGAGTCCAGAATAAACTTGTCTCTTTATTGATGATGTGGCCTTCAGAGCATTTTGTTGTATACATCAGACGTCCTTGTATTTCCTTAAAATAGAAATATCACTTATGACTCAGCAGTCAGATTTCTTCTCCTGTAAATAACATTGTAGATTTTATAAGTACTCACCTTAGAGTCTTGTTGGCTGATCTTATTTAAAATCAACTCCAGGCATTCAGCAGCATCACCTTGCTCATAAACTGCAAAAGGATGCATTAAACCGTATCTGATATATTAATCATCAAAGCATCTTTAATTGACCACTGATATGTGACTTTCTGTCCAATTTACCATTTTTAATCTTCAAAATCCTTGTGATATTTTCTGTTCCACATGTTCTTTTCTTCAGGCCAGCAAAGACTCTGTTCAGCTCTGTCTCTAATTCTGAATGAAACCTTTAGGGAGAGATTAGTTTTTCAGTGAATAGTTACTGTTTACTGTTTGTCTGCTTATATGTTCACTGATGAAGTTTTGTAAGTCAGCCATATACACCCAATTAAATCATTTTACCATTCAGTGTTTCCTGTTAATATTCTACACAATGTTTTTGTCACATATAAATTCTCCTGGTACTTATATTAACTACAGATGAAAGCAGCTGTTTCAAACCTGTCATGGACCTCTGGAGTCATGAAGAGAACTTGCAGAACACTGTTGAGGTAACATGTGGCTCCCTGGTTATGCAGACCATAATGAACTCTCTGTGGCTGAATTGCTGAAAGGAAAGAAAAAACACAGTGTAATTACACCATCTCCATTTATTTATCATTAAAGATTATTTAGTTGGTAGCAAACAGGGTCATAAAAATGAATATTCTGATTTATAGTGGATGGATTGCTGGTGGGTGAAATAGGGTGACGTGTCTTTCATACAGTGAAACTGTTTGCAGAGTCATCCTGATAAAGCATGTTTTCCTCTGTTCTGTCAAGTTTATAACTAAGTTTTGCATGTGAACATTTCTGATTACTGAAAGCAGCCTCTCTAATCATTAAAGTAAATCGTTAAAGAAAGCATTCATACATCAGTACAACGGAGTACGTCTCCGTTCTGGTTGGTCTCAACAGGTATGTGACAGAAAGGTTATATATTCAGCATTGATCTGTCAGCATCAGTATCAGTAAGAATTAAATATTAGGCCAGATGTTCTTATTACCTCTTTGTTTCTGCTTCACTGTGTTTGTCTTTTTACTGGAGCGTTTCTGTTTTCCAACATTTACAGGAGCATCATCTATGCTTTTTAGATTTTCCTGTACTTCTTCATCTTCACTGTTTAGCAATTTTTGTTTTTCACAGTCCTCGTCACTGTTTGTGTTTCTGTAATAACTTGTTTCTCTGACTGATGTGTCTTTCTTTACACTTTCTTCATCACCCTCCTCTCCTCCAGCCTGAAGACTGAGTGTATCTTTCTCCTGATCTTTTCCCATCTGTCCATCATCTTCTTCACTATGTCCAATCTGTGTGTTTTCTTCATCATCAGTGTCTCTTTTGCTGACATTTTCGTTTTCCAGTTCCTCTCCTTTCTGTTCTTCCAGACCAATATCTTCACCCTGTTCTTCTTTCACCTTGTCTGTCAGATCTTCTGAATTGGTTTCAGCAGGTTTCTGACACTCTGTGGATTTGAAGTAGAAATAAAGTAAAATATTCAGTAATCATCTGTTTCAGAGTCAGTATCAGTAAGAACAAAGTCTTTTCATGAATTACACCCTGAAAAAAGTCTATATGTCAACATACACACCCAACTAATATATCCTTGTAAAAAGATACTTTAGTATTGTTTGTGTAGTGTATAATTATGTATCTAAATGTACAAAAGAAATCACATAGAGCCAATGAAAGAGGTCATTTTTGTATGTTGCCATAGAAACACAGATTCATGCATGTTCTTCTTATTACCTGTTTGTTTCTGCTTCTCTGTCTTTGTCTCTTTATCCAGATGTTGGTCACTGGAGTGTTTCACCTGTTCTTCAACATTTACAGGAGCATCATCTACTTTAGTTTCCTTCAACTCTTCAGACTTGTCATTTGTGTTTTCTTCTGTGCTGCTGGAACGTGTACTGTCTTCATTCATGAACAGAGTTTCCTGTACTTCTTTATCTCCAGTTTTTACTTTGCTCAGTGTTGCACATTTGACACCAGTGTTGATGTTTCTGTCATTAATTGTTTCTCTGACTGATGTGTCTTCATTTACACTTTCTGTCTCACCCTCCTCTTCTCTAGCCTGAAGACTGAGTGTATCTCTCTCCTGATCTTTTCTCATCTCTCCCTCATCTTCTTCACTGATACTTTCTTCTTCCTTCCTGGTGAGTTGTTCTTCACCCAGTTTGTCCACGTTACTGGTTTCATGTCGTTCAGCTGCATCGTCTGTCAGACCTTCTGAAGTGGTCACACAGGGCTTCTTAGCAGCTGTGGGTTGAAATGTGTTTATTCAGTAATACATTCAGTTAAAATCTGTTTCAGAAAGGTTGGCATTACTTTGGATGAACATCTTACAGATGTATGTTGTGATGGATGTATAAGGTCAAATTACTCTTATTGAGCAAAAAGCTACTTTATAGAGTTGGTCATCTTTTGCTTCTATTTATGTTAATTTTGTTTTATAAACATCTGCAACACCTTGTTCAGCCACATCTGCGTCTCTGTTACCTGTTTGTTCCTCCTCGTCTGCCTTTGTGATCTCATCTCGGCATCTTTTCCTGGGGTTAGAATCTTCTTCATCTCCCATCTTTCTTCCAACTTGTTTATGTTTTCATGTGCGATGCTAAAACGGATACAGTGCCTTCATTAGCCTACACATATTTTTATCATTTCACACAATGTTGTCAATGATTGTCTCTCAATATTATTTATTTTATCCTCAATACGAATTTTATGACTCCTCCCTTCTGTTCACTGTCCATTAAAAAAAAAAAAAAGCATCTTGTAATAATGATAAACAATATCTTGTTTTCCAGGTAACAACAAACCTGACATTCATAGGAAAAATACATCCCCCATAATGCTGCACAGCGAGACTCTAAGTTAGAGGCGGAACTTCAAAGGAAGACAATTGAATACAACGTCATTATAAGATGAGATTTGTTTTGTAAAGATTTATTTTGTGGATTACTTTATTGTGTTTATTGAATTCTCGTAAGTTAATTAATGGCAACTACATATATAAACATATCGGTATTCTGTTCTACAATGTAGATAAGGAACTACATAAGGTGCTCGTTACCTGTAATGTCACTGATTGGCGGAGTGATATGATGTAAGGTAGTGTTCAGTTGTCCGACTGTTGAAGCGGACATTAAAGTGGATCAAGTATCACAGATAGAGTTATCCTCTTGCTTTACCCACGACCCAAAGCTAGTTGTAATACAGTAACTATCAAGGTTGTAGTTAACGCTGCGAGTAACCAGCGTTACAATATTCAGAGAGTAACTAAAACGCCTCACAGTACAAACTTTAAAAGTTACAACATAGTATCATACAATAAACAGTTTAGAAGTGAAACTCTCCGTTAATCTCTATCCAGATGCAAACTGAAAGCAACCTCATGCGCCTGTACCACAGCAACATCAATCAACATATTCACATGGAAATACAAGATTATAAAATATGACTCCTTTTACTCTGAGCCTGTCTATGAGGTTGTATTGCGGTGAAAGCCAACGTTAGAGATATATAGTGCTTACCTGGACTGCACCATCGGGTAATGAAAGCAGTAAGCTGTGTAACACTGTCTTACTTTCGTTTGTTTCACTGTCCGCTGTCAGCCTTCTCCTCCAGCCCGAAACTACAGAAAATAAAGCTCAGACAATAAAAGAGGCTCCGCCAATAAGTTTGATTGATCCTCTGATTTGATCATCTTCAAAACAATTTTTAAATTGATCTTAAAAGTCTATTATAGGGGGTTTCTTTAGTTTTCCATTGTATTCTTTTCTGCTTTAATTTCAGTCCTCTATCAGAAAGTGTATCACTGTGTACTGAAAGGCTAAATGTCATTATTTCTAAATACATATCTAAATATCTCAAACGAGGGACTTTCTGTTTCCTTATGAGTTACTGCAGTTTAAACTTTCTTTCTCTTGTCTACAGAAAATCACATGACTTCGTTTGACCGTTAGAGGATATATTGGCAGAAATGTTGTATAATTTTTATTCATGGGTGTGTTTTCTTTAGTGGGTAATCACCTAAAAACACAGAGATAACAAAAGCTGCAGTTCCTCTTCCGGCCTCTTGGGGCTGGCGGCAGTAGTGAGTGATCTCCAGAAGATGCTCAACTTTACAGCAGAAATAAACATGTTTACAGCCTGGTACACAAACACTTTCGGTATCTAATAGCTAAATACTCTGTTTATGACATATGTAAGTTGTTATATAACTCGCCTGAGTCAATTTTCTTCACAAAGTAATAGTATGAACTCTTTAAATCTTGCCCCTGACATTTACCCCCTATATTATAATGAACACTGAAAACAATTAAAAAAAAAACTGAAACTGACTGAAACTAAACTGAATGGAAAACTAAATAAAAAGAAAAATAACAATACTCTGATTGTCTCTTAGACAAAAAGTGAAACTACAGACCAACCTGAGGCTGTTTGTGCTCCTTTATGGAAATCCCGGGGAAAAACATTTATAGTTTATACCTGATTTAACTGTAGGAAAACACAGACACAAACCACGTGATCCTGTCTCTCTCTCAGCTGTAATTTCACTTTCACTTTAATTGAAAGCATTGTAGGTTTATTTATTCATTGCATTTCTGTTTTCCAGTGCTTGAAATATCTTATTATCTTTGTCTACTTATTTTACTTGTGAGTGGAAATTATGTCCATAGCATCACTTTTGCAGTAGTGTAATTCCCTAATTTGTTTCATTCTATGTATCTGTTGCTCTCAGTATGCTCTGTGTGGGTGTGAATGAATCTGACTCTATCAAGTGGTTCAAATATTTGATTGTTCTTTATTTCATTTTACTTATGAGGGAGAATTGTCCGAGCTCTGCTTTGCAGCTGTGGTTTGGACAGTTTCTTTGGACTCTCAGTATGTTTCTCAGGTTGTACTCTCTACTCTTGTTTAATTAATATTCACCAAACTTCACTTCAATATAAAAGGACTGGTTCAGTATTGCTTTGGAAAATTTTAAGCCAAATCTTTATTAGTGGTTTAATTTGAATAGGACCTTTCTTACACTGTAATAAGCTGTGAGCTTTACAGAAGAAGTGACAGTGAGGCCTAGGTATGTATACTCTGTTTATTAATTATATTAATTTTAGTTTTATGTAGATTTATTCTTTCTCTATCTCTGAATCTGTGTTGCCTGTTTTGAGAAGATAAATACGTTTAATCAATGCCCTTATACTGCCCACTCTTTCTATTGATTTCACTTTTATCAGCTGTTAAGTGACTCAGTGTCTCTGTGTGACTGAAGCCTGTGCCTCCCTGATAGTCTGTTGTTGTTGTTCTTTAATCCTTACTTTTAATTTGCATTGCTTTAGCTTCATTTTGCATATGCTCACTATTTTTCACCCATTGTCACATTTTTTGTTATCATTAAAGTTTCATTATTAGCTGTGAGGAACAATATGAAGACGCTAAGTGAGACAAGTAGAATTTATAAAAGTTTATATGAAGATGATACATTTACATAAAAGAAACAGAATACAGATTTGTGGCATCGTATCCATTTTCTTAACAGATTTGACATTGGCTTGACAACACAGTAGCTTGTAGTAGAAATATAAAGAAAAAGGACACTCAGCAATGAATCAAAGTGAGTCCAGAGTTCTGTCCATCCAAGAGTAAAATTAATTTGCACTTATTCATGATTCAATGTTAAACTATACATGTAGATTCCCTAAAACATTACATAAAAAAGGATTGCATGAGGATATATTGATTTGTTCATGCATGGTTCATGGTTTTCTTGAGACCCTGTGGGGTTTATTCTTCATCAGATGTGCCTCCGGACACTTTCAGCACTGTATGAACTGTGGACATGTGCTCGATCCCAGTGGATTCCAGAGTGGCCTCTTCCTCCACCAGCTTGGAGTTGAAGACCATCCGAAAGTCTTCATCTTAAAGCAGAAATAAATAGTTATAAAATGTTTAGTATCTTACACAGTAACCTAGGCTACATTTTTAAGTTTGGTTTTGATTCTGTTAGATGAAAAGATGGCTGAACTAAAAGGTTAACAGTAACACTAACAGTTACAAGACTGACAAAGGGTTAAAAAGAAGCAGCATTAGACTCTCTAAAGTCACATTGAAACAACTGAGGGTTAAAGGCAGGCACAGTGTTGTGGACAAACCTGGGTCCGCCCACTTCTACTGCACAATCCTAGAACATAGGCTGTTTTGTCTTAACTTTAATCTTTATAATTTAAAATTAACATTCAAATACAGAATGAAGACTAAGATTCCATTTCCAAGCAATAATTATTATATTACTATCATGTAGGCTAGTCAGTTTCAAGCTGTGAATGTATTTATCAGTTAATATCATAGCTGCAAAGAGACCAAGAACCTAGAAAACAATGTTAAAGAAGGAAGTTATAGCTAAAAAAAAATCCTGCCCTTTTTCTTTTTAATTTGATTTCAGCAGTATGCCTGTGCCGGTTGTAATAAATTATAACTTTCATTAAACATTTCATTAAAACATTCATGGGTAGGCCTACATAACAACATTGAAAACGTGTCATGAACAAGAAGTGCTAGCCCCCACAACACCTGTTCTTTCTGTTTTAAATACTTGAAAGGCCCATCCAAAATTAATATCCTGGCGCCTTGCCTGGGTAAAGGTTGAACCAAATTTGATAGAAATGTACCCAGAAGTCTTTACACTGTAGAATCACAAAACTTGAAGAACTCAAAAGAGTGCAAAATCCCAATAGCCTACTCACACACACAGTTTTTAATTTAAACTACAGGTGTCCAAACAGACAACTGGGACAGAAACAATCTCCTTAAGGATGTAAACGAAAGAGTACACTTACTTATCCACCGCTCTTTAATTTTCTCTTTAAATTGCCGTCCAGTGATGTTTTTCAGCTGATCTTTAGTGTTGCACAGCTCCATGATCTTTTCATTTCCAAAAGGTAGATGAACGTTGACTTGGATACACATTTTGGAGCTTGTTCAGTGAGTTCACTGATCTGTCTGTTCAGAAAGTGAAACGGTTGGTAGATAAATAGGCTATGTGATATCAGATGTTTTCTTTTTTTTACCTCCGTCACAAACTAAATCACATGACTCCTTGGAAATCCCCGCCCCATAAACCTGTTGTTTTATTTGAGTAAGTAGCCTACATTTTACATTTAGTCAAGATGAGCAGCAACATGACAACTGAACGGGAGAAGTGTTACGACCCTCAAGACAAAACACTTACATTTATCAATGGAGAGGATGATTTAGACTGTAAGTAGTCAAATGTCACATTATCTTGTCTTATGAATGTGATATGATCACCAAGCAAACATTTGCTTCTGCTATCTATGTTTTTACCTGCTACTTTTAAGTATTATAGCTCTCCTTGTTTATGTGTGCCTCACAGTTCTGTGTATTGGCTACAAGTCTCTGAGAGCAAAGATGTCCTGTGGTCATGCTGTCACTCCGATGTCTCTCACTGACTGGTGTCGCAGGTTGTTGGACAAGGTAGGCTGTTTACATCATAATGCAATATAAAATCTGTATAAGTGACTAAACTTCACTGACAATGTGCATAGTGGCAGCTTGTATAGTAAATTATATTATCTATAAAGGTTTTTGTTTATTTATGGTGGCTATGTTGTTGGTGCTATGGTTTTCTAACCCCACAGGTGATTTGTGAACTGCTAAATGAAAACTGATATCATTAATGCCTTCCTGGTGCAGGTGAGGAATGAATGATTGTAGCCACCCCCTCTTTTTAAGATGGCTTCTCAGTATCATGTACCCTTTTACCTGATGAAGTTCTAGGACTGACATTTTGTAAATAAATGTTTTGCAAGTAAGACAGCGTGCAGGAATTTATCTTTTGTACCTTTTTGATACTGTCCCACTCCTACGCACCTGCCCCACAAAGTAGATGTGAGGTATTTTTGTGTTTATTTTGAGCTTGTATATTAATAAAAAGTTTTGATTGTATTTATACATGTTATAACTTAAAGCAACCAGTTTAATTAGCAGTAAAACTGAGTTTAATTACATGAAAAACTTTTTTTCTGATGTTGGTTTATTGTGTTGTGGACTTTCTGACTGTTTAAGGGGCACAAATAAAAAAAAATAAAAACCAGTGCGCAAAAAGTTGTGAAGCATTTATGGTGAAACAGCTTAGTCTGGGTTAGGATTAGCACCATAGAGGCCACTTCATGTTGTCTTCTCCACTGAAAAGGCACCATAGGACAGTGGTTCCCAACATGCGGGTCCGGACCACCACTAGGGGTCTTCAGAGCTTCATAGGGGATCGCCGGGTGTAAGAAAACTTTATATAAACAGAAGGTTCACTTCTGTAAAGAAATGTAAATGTTAAGTAAATTGTCTAGTAAATGGCAAAGTATCATAGACAAGAGAACAATGAATTTGTCAAACAGAAAGCCTATAAAGTTTTTATGATTGATAAAAATTGTAATAAAAACACACAATAGCCTACAGACAGAGAACTGTATCAAAAGTTCCCTAAACAGGACATAATCTGCTCAAAACTCCTTCAAATCACTTCTTTTACACAAACTTCTCAGTCACTATTTGAGTTTAATTGCACAGTTTTGAATATAAAATATCCATAAAATATTTCCCTTAAGCAGGGACAATCAGTTTACTAAATGACAGAAAAGGGGTCCATTAAGGAAAAAGGTTGGGATCCTCTGCTCTAGAAGCCACCAGTGAATAGCAGTGAACCATATCAGCAGTAGCAGGCTGAAGAATTGTATTCACTCTTTTTCTTTGATTTTCTCTTTAATATCTAAGGGTGAATGCAGATTTGTGTGTGGTCAACCTCGCTGTGATGTTGAGTGGCCCTTTGAGGAGGTTTGTAAAATGGCTCTTCTAAGCCCTGAAGAAAAGAAGCACTTTGAACAGGAGATGTTCAGCAATGCTCATGACTTGAAACTTGTAAGTATCAATATTACACTATTTAATAACTGTTCTCTGAAATAAACCCCATCTCATTATGTTTTTCTTATAACTTCACTTCACAGTGTCCTGGTTGCAAGTCCTCTGTGGTGAGAACTGATCCCAGTAATCTGAGTATTGAATGCTCAGTGTGCACAGCTAACAAACAAAGGTCTTATAGATTCTGTTGGCAGTGTTTGAAGGAATGGAAAGGTACGGCTCCACGTTCAGACCGCTGTGAAAACGATGGCTGCATTAATCAGCAACTAGAAACACTGAGAAACTCTCCAGTCATTGTCTTTAAGAAGGTGAAGGAGGTCACTGGCTGTCCCTCCATCCGTGCCTGTCCCACCTGTGGTTTGCTGCTGGAGCATAACAGAAAATACTGTAAAACCATCATCTGTCGCCGCTGTAAGGTGAAGTTCTGTTTTGTGTGCCTGAAGCTTACTGGAGTGTGCCGAAACCCATACGGTCTGTGCTCCACTGGGGTAGCACCTAGACAGACCTCTATACCTGTGTGGCAGAGGAAATAATGCTGTTGATTTAACACTGTGATCTCCTTTTTTCTTAATTAAGCCGATCATAAATGAACTCCACACCAGTTTTAAATCACACTAAAGATCTCTTTTGAACTTGTACTTTGAATTTGGAACAATATCATCACAACATGAGAATTAGCTCTTTCTCTCCACAATTGAAACATTAAGTAAGACCATTTCTACTTCAGACTCACTGTTTATTCTATTTTTGTATCATTTTGCTGGATGTTGCTTCTTCACTGTTCTCTCATTGTTAAAGCTTGTTGTCATCTTGATCTAATGTCTTTATTCAATCGGTTAACTTCACATTTCATTGTTTTATCATTATGGGTTTGTTTTTTTGTTTTTTTTTAACTAATCATTTGTTTTCCTAACATGAATTAAACCATTGTTGCTTTTCCTGTGAAATAAAGATAAATAAATATACATTATAAGTTTGAGTAAATTATTTCTATTTTAGCAGCACTTATAAAACACGCTGTAAGTCCGTCTAACTTCAGCATGTCATTGTCACATTAATTGTGATATAGTGTTGAATTCACACTGATAACAATGAGAACAATAAAATTATAGTGATGGAATCAGTATTCAGATAATTAACTTGTGTACAAGTAGAAATCAAGTAAAAGTCCTGCACTCAAAATGTGTAAAAGTATTAACAGCAAAATGCACTTCATGAAAAGTAAAAGTATTCATGCAGAATGGATCATTAATTACAGATACATCACACAAATGTAAATACTATTAAGATGTTGTGAGTTGGAGGTCATTTTAACTGCTTTATGGGTAGTTTAATCTATAACAATGCATCATATTTTATAAACATAGCTGTCAATGGAGTGAAATGTATATTTCTGTCTTAAATGTATTAAAGTAGAAGTATAACAGCAGAAAATGGAAATAGTTGCTACAAATTATGCAGAACCAGACTAAATGTATTAAGATAGTTTTCATCAGATACATTGTAAATATGGAGAAGAGACGGTTTAATTCTTGGCAGCACCACTGAATATAGATGTACAATAATACCTTAAAATAGCTCAGATACAGAGGTGAGTATGTACAGCAACAACTCTATTGGTTTACACTGAAAATATAGATAGAAAAGCTGTATTCTGAATAAATATATTATGGACTAAACTGTCTTTAACCTCACTGAAACCTGGACTATGTATCACTGAAATTGACAACAATGACTGGATACAGTTGTGAGACCACATGTTGGTGTCATGGAGGTTACAGTGCTCTCAAGACATTGGTGGTATAGTGCTGAGAATAGCTGCTTCCCAACATGCATTCAGTCTTCAGGCTAGAGGAGAGGAGGGTGATGAAGAAAGTGTAAAGAAAGACACATCAGTCAGACAAACAATTAATGACAGACACATGAGCACGGACGAGGACTGTGAAAAACAGAATAAACTGATAAATAGTGAAGATGAAGAAGTACAGGAAACTCTGTTTATAAATTAGGACAGTACACATTCCAGCAGCACAGAAGAAAACACAAATGACAAGTCTGAAGAGTTGAAGGAAACTAAAGTAGATGATGCTCCTGTAAATGTTGGAGAACAGTTGAAACACTCCAGTGACCAACATCTGGATGAAGAGACAAAGACAGAGAGGCAGAAACAAACAGGTAATAAGAAGAACATGCATGAATCTGTGTTTCTATAGCAACATACAAAAATGACCTCATTCATTGGCTCTATGTGATTTCTTTTGTACATTTAGATACATTATTATACACTACACAAACAATACTAAAGTATATTTTACCAAGTATACATTAGTTGGGTTTGTATGTTGGCATATAGACTTTTTTCAGGGTGTAATTCATGAAAGGATTTAGCTCTTACTGATATTGACTCTAATACAGATGATTACTGAATATTTTACTTTATTTTCTTCTTCAAATCCACAGAGTGTCAGAAACCTGCTGAAATCAGTTCAGAAGATCTGACAGACGAGGAGAAAGAAGAACAGGGTGGAGATATTGGTCTGGAAGAACTTAAAGGAGAGGAAATTGAAAACAAAAATGTCAGCAAAAGAGATACTGGTGATGAAGACAACGCACTGATGGGACATAGTGAAGAAGATGAGGGACAGATGAAAAGAGATCAGGAGAGAGATGCACTCAGTCTTTGGGCTAGAGGAGAGTAGGGTGATGAAGAAAGTGTAAAGAAAGAAACATCAGTCAGAGAAACAAGTTATTGCAGAAACACAAAAATTGCCTAACCGTGAAGATGAAGAAGAAGGGTCTACTTATGATGGAAAAAGTGTGAACAAGTTGTACTGGATGAAGAGTTCAGGAGACCATGATGACAGTAATTGCTCTGCCGAGGAGAACGAGACACGCATTCAGGTTAATGAAGAGCAGGGTGAGACAGGCCATTTTTAAGCTCTAAGTGCAGCTAAACTGCAGAGACAAGAAATGCAGGTGAAATTTTTGGAAATCTATTCAGCCTTTTAATTAGCCCCATCAGTCAACACTGTAACGTAAAAACTATTAATTCTATTGTGAGGATTTGAGTGACTTTGACAAGGAGCTACATTGTGATGGTTCGACGACTGGGTCAGAGCATCTCTAAAACTGCAGCTCTTGTGGGATTTTTCCGGTCTGCAGAGGTCAGTACCTAAAAGTGCTCCAAGGAAGGAAAAGTGGCAAACCGGAGACAGGGCTCACTGATGCAAGTGGTGAGGTGATCATAATGTTATGGCTGATCGGTGTATGTGTATACTTGAGTATGTATATGTGTGCTTGAGCATTTATACCAAAAGCCAAAGTACTCTAGCTCAGCTCAATAAGCAGTAGTATGTGGTTATATGGGTCTGAGTGGCTGTATTTCTTACTTTGGTAGTTTTTAGTTCAACCATCAGCCTGTCAGGACATTCACAGTTTTCCTGATTGTGTTCCTGCTAAATACTCTGTTTATGACTTATGTAAATGTTTTGTAATATTCTGAATTTGTTAAATCTTGACCCTGACATTTATCCCCTATATTATAATGAACACTGAAAACAATAAAAACTCAACTGAAATGACTCTTGAAACTGACTGGAAAAAAAAGTGAAACTACAGACCAATCTGAGGCTGTTTGTGCTCCTCTATGGGAATCCCGGGTAAAAACATTGTTTATATCTGATTTAACTGGAGGAAAACACCGACACAAACCACAGCATCCTGTCTCTCTCTCAGCTGTAATTTCACTTTCACTTTAATTGAAAGCATTGTCGTTTATTTGAATTTCTCCTACGGGGGTCAATAAAGAAACAGCTTATTCAATGTATTTCTGTTTTCCAGTGCTTGTATTATTGTAAAAAATATATATAATATGCAGAACCAGAGTAAATGTACTGAGATAGTTTTCATCAGATACATTGTAAATATGGAGAAGAGACAGTTTAATTCTTTGCAGCACTACTGATTATAGATGTACAATAATACCTTAAAATAGCTCAGATACAGAGGTGAGTATGTACAGCAACAACTCTATTGGTTTACACTGAAAATATAGATAGAAAAGCTGTATTCTGAATCAATATATTATGGACAAAACTGTCTTTAATCCCACTGAAACCTGGACAATGTATCACTGAAATTGACCACAATGACTGGATACAGTTGTGAGACCACATGTTGGTCTCATGGAGGTTACAGTGCTCTCAAGGCATTGGTGGTATAGTGGTGAGTATGGCTGCTCCCCATGCAGTTGACCGGGGTTTGATTCCAGGCCAATGCATGAGCTTTACTCAAATCTTTAATCACCAGATATCTACTGACAGGCCATAATAAAAAACATTTTCCACTGAAGCTCCACAGTCATTTGTCACACCTTTAAACTCACAGACGATGCTGCCATCTTGTGATTTAAACACAACCACTAACAGTGCAGATTATGTTCTTTAGTAACAATTTCAGAATGATTTTAAAGCTGTCAGCCTTCTCTGTAACTCCAGAAAATATAGCTTAGACAATAAAAAAGACTCCCCTAATAAGTTTGATTGGTCCTATTATTTGATCATCATAGAAATATTTTTAAAATTAATCTTAAAAGTCTAATTTCAGTCCTCTATCAGTAAGTGTATCACTGTGTCCTGAAAAGCTAAATGTCATTATTTGTGTATCTTGCCAGCAGCAACTGCAATGTTTTATAAAGTTTAATCTCAAATGAGGGACTTTCTGTGTTTCCTTATTAGTTATTGGACTTTAAACTTTCTTTTTCTAGTCCTTTGGAAATGAAATGACTTTGTTGACCTTTGACAGTGTGTAACATTCAGGAGGATCTATTGGCAGAAATAAAATATAATATTAATGGGTGTGTTTTCTTTAGTGGATAATCACCTGACAACCTCTGTGGCTGGCAAATGAAATAAACATGTTTACAGCTTGGTACAGTCTGTAAACATGTCTATTTCTGTTGTAAAGTTGGACATTTTAAGTTTCAACAACAGTTTCGGTATCTAATAGCGAAATACTCTGTTTATGGCATCTGTAAGTTGTTATATAACTCACCTGAGCCCATTTTTTTCTTTCTTTTCTGAACTCTTTAAATCTTGCCCCTGACATTTACCCCCTATATTATAATGAACACTGAAAACAATAAAAACTCAACTGAAACGACTCTTGAAACTG